GTCCCCCGGTCACGAAAAAAATAGCAACAAAATTGTAAAGAAAAACTTATTCAAAACTACATGAACTCTGACAATTTGGAAAATTCAACTTAGAAATAGCTAGTTTTTGGGAATTTAAGACACTGATACAGATTTCGTGCTAACTCTCTCATCGAATCAGAAGTCAGATTTGTGAATGAACAAGTTCACACAAATCAGGATTAAACCGTTTTTTTCTGACAATTCAAACGAAAAACAATTCATATCGTGAATATTGTCGGTGGGAGGGGGATTTCATTAGACCCAAATGGGGAAGAAGTTGAGCCCGGTTTTTGTAGGAATCCAATTGAAGCAGTTATTAAAGTTTCTAGTGCTATTTTGAGCGTACACAATCTCGCAATGCTATCCGAGCCGGTAAAAATTTCTTGCATTTTACCTGGTGGCCAGTTGTCTTGCGGTGTAAAGTCATCAAGTATATAAACGAGGTTATCCTATTCAGTCCTTTCGATGAGAAGTAGAGCGTACTCTATAAGTAGGCGCCACCAGAAGCTGTCAAGTCTATCTTTTGCTTGCTTCCAGGACTTGTTGAATAATTTAATAGTAGATGTTTTGTAGCAGGCTGTTGCTGGAGTGTTGACGAAAAAACGACAAATAAAGAGGTGGTTGAGTGTCAGAGGGTTGTAATAGTCAATGTCACTGCTGACATGTGCTAGCCGACGAGAGTTAAGGATTCCCTCAGTCTCGGCTGCAAAAAAAAACAAATAGAACCCTTGATAGCCGATCAGAACCCAGATTTAGTAAGACTGCTCGTTTTACCATTGAAACATCGCTACCACATGCCGCCAAACTGAGGGACAGACAAAAGTTCTAATTGCCATCGAGGATTTGGAGCGTTTCAATTAAGGTGGTTTTGTTGAAATTAATTGATTTTGAGCGTAATTGAAAGTAGCGTGGTGAGAGATTAAAAGCTTAGGTGTGTCTCTCCCAGCAACGAAGCGTCTTATTGCAATTAGGACCTTCCGATAAAAATTTGTAGCTTTAACTACCTAAAATTAGATGTTTGGGAAGGTAGCCCTCTCAGTTGTATAATCTTTTGGCAGCATGAAATTGATTTGTAGCATTAACTTGATGTTTGGAAATAATTTGCGAAAAACGAGAAAAAAAATGTAGATAGCCAAGATGATAAATTTGCGAAATTGATGCCTCTCGACAAAAAATTCATTTGACAGTTTTAGATGCCTCAATGCCCTTAGATGCCTCAATGCCCTTAGATGCCTCAAAATTAACACGCAGTAGAACTAAAAAATTTGCTGCAAGCTATCATTGACCTGAAAAAAGCAATTCTAGAGTTAATTACGAGTTTTTTTTTTACTTACAAAACACCTTAAGTTATAAGCGCTGATGCTCAAAACAGTTTTTCATGTTTAATTTGGCTTGTCGAAAATGTCAATGCGTTATAGACAACAAATTAACATCTTCGCGAAAATCTATCCCGCTTCGAATGTTACAGCAGTTGTTTTGTGTCATCTTATGTTTTCTACTTATTTTAAATACATCTTAAGCACAAAATTAAAAAGAGTAACTTATTTCAATGATGACGAAAAATGTCAAGAGAGTACCTTCTGTTTGAGAGACTAGCTTCTTCGATGAAATCTAGCAAAGGCTCAGTAGTGATCGCAAGATGAAGTGTTTACAAATAACATTATGGTAACAAATTTTTTAAAATCGGTTTTTATTGGAACATTTGAGACAGCGCCGCTTGCCAAAATTCGAGAAAAAAAAATAGATTTCGAAAAATTATATCTATCAAATTGAATGCAGCTAGTTTTTAAAATCATGCCAAAACAAAAAAATAAACTTAGCTTTGGTAAAAAAAATTAGGCGGTGACCAAGCCAAAAATACCTTAAGCAGAAATCCTTTAATTAGTTAAGTTTTCAAAAATATCCTCTTTGATTTAACTGGTTCGTAAATAATTTTTTTTTGTGTTTCGCAAATTATTTTCTAGTGTCGTAAATAGTTTTCTTGAGTTTGTGTCTATAACTCGTGTTCTTTAATAATTTTTCTTCCTTCTGTCTCCGCCGTCTCAAGTTTAAAAAACCATGCAACATTAAATTGTAAAAAACAAAAACAAAAACTTAACAGCTTGGTTGCAGCGCTGTTTTAGGTGTTGGATGAAAAAAGTTGCCACAGCATAAAGTTGGATTAAAAGCAAATATTGATATAGTCTTTTATTGTAATTTAAAGGAAAAGGTACAAAAAATCCATGAAAAAATGAAAACAAGCAATCTAAAAAAATGTTTGAAGAAAATCTGCTTTTTAGGTTCAAAAAAATATTTTTTCTTGCGTTTTTAGCTTTCAGATATTGAAAAAAGATCTTAATGATTGACACTTCATAATAAAACCAATGCACGTGGACAAAATTGGGTAAATGAATAGTATTTTAATCTGCTGGCACATTTAGTAATTAAAATCAACTTGAAAAAACATCAACTCAATGAAGATTTGCTGGTCACCTGCAATTTCGTCATTAATCAATAATTTAATTATGATTAAACAAACTTATTTTAAACGAGCTTGAAAATAAATCAACCCTCAAATTGCGAGATATGGAACAGTTTTCAAGGTTTTTATTGCAAAAAAAACACGATCTCAATAAAAAAAAAACATACAAAAAATCCGACCAAAAGAGACACTTAACCAACAGAGTAATATATGAGTCAAATTGCGGTATTTGTCGAGCTAAAAATGTATCAAAGATTTTCCTGAACTTCTATGTCATTGAGTATTTGACATTGTTTCGGGGTGACATGATTCAGATGGCAGTTATTGTTCTGATTATTTGAAAAAAAGGGAGGATTTTTGTAATTGGGTGTGTTGCAGACTTGTTAACGGGCCGCCATAATTTAGGCCCGGCCCGATATAATTCAAGTCGAGCCCGTTGGCGGCCCGATAAACAGGGAATTTATTTAATATCGGCCCGTTGGGGCCCGTTGCTGCTTTTTTGGTAAAAAAAAAACAAATTTGTTTCAAAACAATTTTACTTAATTGTTTTACTTATTTATAAAGACCTTTTTAAAAAGATTTCGTGCTTCGTGTCACGTCGAATTTGTTTTTGCAGTGAATCGGCAGTGAACGTAGCAGCCATGTCGTTTAGTAGTCATGTCGTCAATAAAAGTAAGGCCCGTTGACAAAAGTGAAAACCTCGGCCCGGCCCGTTGAAACCCACGGGCGTCCCGGCCCGTTGACAAGTATGGTGTGTTATAGTTTTGTTTTCTTGTTTTCAGTTTTCCACGCAAAATCAGCTACCGCGATAAATTATCTGAGTGAGTTGAGTGATATTTTATACTATAGCGTTTTCAGTTGTGATACGAACGACTTTTTAAAAAAAGTTCAAAAAACTTTCCCAGTGTCGAGAGAAACCGGTTTGAAATTTTTGATTTTTTTCAGAAAAGCGTACCATAAAATAAATTGCATATGGAAAACAACGGAAAATCAGGCGATAAAAATCATGAAGATGTCTGAAAAAAAACTATTATTATCTCAAATGAGCTAAGAAGTAGTTTTAATTGATTTTTCAAGAAATTAAGTATGTCTGAGCAGCAGCAAAAATATAGCAAAAATTGAGCGGCAGAACTTTATCACAGAGGCAAATTTGCAGTCCGCATACACAAGCAAAAGTATGACTAATAACGCTACTGGGAGAAACTGAATGAGTACAACTTTGAGTCTTCGAAATTTCTCAAGTGAGGCACGCCAATTATGAGTCTACATAATTGCTAAGTGACAACAGCCAATTATGACGCATTAGCAGTACCAGGCAAATTGAAAAAAGAAATTTACCAAGTAACATGCCTCAATTTATAGAGCGGACGCATTTTAGCTAGTATACGAAAAAGCTCAATAAAAACATCCGACACTGCACAGGTTTGAACCCTTTTATTTTGATGCTGGTCTCCTTCCTTCCCTGCTTCTACGACAGATCCATGATACCTTGAAGCTAAAGTGCTATTTGTAATATAATAGTTGGTTATTGATCAAAAGAAACACATTTGGTGGCAATAATATTTGCGACTTAGGTTGGAAAAAAAGAGAGCTCATACTATAACACAAGCTTTGCCTGTGTAAAAACACAAGCTTTGCTTGCTTCGCCAACACTTGCGAGAACAAGACCAAAAAGCAGCTCTATCAAGTGACATAAGAAAAATTAGAAATAAGCCTCGAATAATATAGGCTTTGCTTGCGTAACAACGGCGTTGCTTGTGTTAGACACAGAGGCGAAGCTGCGCGTCGCAAACTCTTGCGAGAACAAGACCAAAAAGCAGCTCTATCAAGTGGCATAAGAAAAAGTAGAAGTAAGCCTCGAATAACATAGGCTTTGCTTGTGTAAAAACGTTTTTTTTTGTACGGGAAAAAGTCCGTCCAGTTCCCGATTACAAGTCGCTTGCTCTCGCAATTGAAAATATTTCTGCTTGATATATTCTGCTGGGAATTGTGAAAAATCTAATTAACTCAATGTGTTATTTGGCTCGTTCCAATTTATTAATATATGCGCTTTGCAACAGATAGCTAAGACACGACAAAAAGCAGTTCTATAAAGTGCAATAAAAAGTAGAAATAAGCCTCGAAGTGTAAGAATTCGGCTACCTCTCGGATTCGATCTGCGACATAGTCGTACGCACTAACCACTTAGCCACTGACACTCAATAAATCACAAAACCTAGCCCCAAATAAAGCAGAGAACAGATGCTATGAAATTTGCAATGCTACAGATAGTGATTATTGCAAAAGTGCCACCAAATAAAAAAAGAACACATTAATGAACACTTTTATTTGCGAGTTAGGTTAGAAACAAAAGACGGTTCGTACTAATAAACTAATGCTCACAAGCTAACCAGTGTAATTAGCGAAGAGAATGAATTGAGCTTCGACATAGAAAAAACTTGTACAGCTTCCGGGTAAAGTATTTCGTTCTTGTCGACCAACAACTCAACTTGATAACTAAAATTTTCTTATGTATACCTCTTATAGCAAATTAAATTGGAAATCAATTTGTACATCTAATCAGTTTATTTACAATAGAACACAGCAAAATGGTAAATGATAGAGTTATTGTTTTTATCTATAATCTGGAGAAAATTCAAGTGTTAATGTCATGTAATTCGATATCACTGGAACTTCTTTTGGGTACCCTAAAACACAGACTAACAATAACCACTATTTCAATAATACATTTGAAGAAGGTTTAGTTAGCTTCAGGGAATTTCGCAAGCGATTGTAAGCCTGTTAATATTTTAAGGCAGCATGATCAATTTTTTCAACATTTCAGTACCGGCGTACGCAGGAATTTTTCGGCAAAAAAAATCTAGTTTTTGTTCCTAAACCTACCAAAAACTGCTCCTAATTTTTGTTCTTAGACCTAGATTTTTAAAATGAAAAGAACGAAAATTAGGAGCATTTTTTGGTAGTTTGAGGAACAAAAACTAGTTTTTTTTTGACGCGCAATCCTTCTGATCACGGTCATTTATTCAAAAAATATATATTATATATATTTCTTTTTCAGCCGGTAGGACTGCGATCAATTTTATCATTCGATTCGTAATAGCTTTTTGCAGCAATAATTTCGTTGCTTCAGTTACGACATCTTAGAGAGTCGGTGACTGTTTATCGCTATAACTTCGTTTAAGAAACTCAAATTTCAATCTAGTTTTTCTAAACAGGCCAGCTTTTTGGAATACTTACAGCAAACCAAATAACGACTAAGAAGGCTTCAATATGATACCATACTCTATAAAACGAATCCTTGCGGTACCTGAGTTTCAGCTAAAAACATCCGAATACAAAATTCACCCTCACCTACGATAATCGAAACAGAGATCATAAAACGAGGAATAACTCACGTATATTGTGACTCAATTCTCTGTTTTCTGATGATGAGAAAGACGACCATTGAGAGGAAAGACAGACAGATGACTGATGCGACTGCTATCACCACAAAGGGGTGCAGTGGCTTGCTAGTCTGTGGGTTCCGCTTCAACATTCCCGCCAGGGCGTATCCGTCTCCACTTTGAGTCTGTGGCTGATCCTCCGAGGAGGGATCCACTTGCATGACGTCACAGATGAGGAAGAACACGTCAGTTATGGAGCCAGACACTGGAATGGGCTGAGCCACGAATTCTGAAAACCATCACAGAAATCAGTTATTATTGCACAAATCACATAGAACACAGAGGCGAAGCTTCGCAAACACAAGCGAGAGAAAGATAAAAAAAAGCTCTAGAAAATGGAATAAGAAATTCTCAAACAAATCAAGATAAATACCAATTTAAATATAGAAAATTTCATTTAGTACATGGAAAACCAACATACATTGTCAAATAAAAATGTACACAGAGGCGAAGCTTCGCTCCGCAAACACTCGCGAGAACACGAGAAAAAGCAACTCTGTACAGTGCAATAATAAAAATTAGAAATTAGCCTCGAATTAATTATTTAAAAAATCGGCCACCTCTCAGAATCGTACTTACGACCCAGTTATTACGAGACTCAGACACTAATCCCTCAGTCAGCGAAGCATTATTGATACCAAACACTAGCCAAAAAATAACCAGAGAACAGATGCTATGCTATTTCCAATGCTACATTGAAATTGCCAAATAAGTGAACACTTTTAACGAACACTTTTATTTGCGAGTTAGGTTAGAAAAAAAGAAGGGTTCGTAATAATACACTGTGCTGATCGCAAGGGTAACAATGTTTAAAAACTCTTGTAGTCCTCAATTAGTCCATACACTTCAATTGTCGGTCGATAATATTTGCATGCTTAATTAGCAGATATTTACCAATGCATCACATGAAAATTTGAAACATTCGTGCAAAATGGGGTATTAACGCAAGAAAGCTGAACTTCTGTGCGATGCTTTGTTAAATATCTGCTAATTAAACATGCGAAAAATAACGACAGGGAGTTCAATGGTTGAGATCAAGTGAGAGGTGAAAGATAACTTTCGAAACATTGTTACAGTTGTCTGAGACTTTGTAGAGGCGAAACTGGACTAAGCAATTTTCAAGCTAAAAATTGGCAAAGCCGAGCTTGAATTGATATTTGAACAAAAAAAACATTTTTCCGCTGACGGTATTCCAACTTTCGATCTAAAAATTATATTGACACTGTTTTTTATAAAAATAATCCAATTTGAGAAAATTGGATCAACGAGTAAAAATTTTATTTCGCTGCGAAATCTGATAATTTTAAATTCCACTTTCGAAACCAGAAATTGATCACGTTTTTGGTGATCTTAACACCTTTGCTGCTGGATAGCGGAGATTGCAAAGGTAATGAACTGAACTTAAAAAAATCAAAAGTCAAGGCGCGAAATAGTAAAACTAAGCCTGAATAAATTAAAGACTTTTCTGGAAAAAAATCAAGACGAATGTCTGAACTGAGTTATTTAGAGTTTAATCTCTGGACAATTCTATCAAATGCACTTGATACAATAATTGTTATAAATGAGAATGATTGTTAGATTATCCAGTCGGAAAAAATGAAACTGCTTATGTCAGATATATTTTGCACCGATAGGAATCACATAAATTAAATACTCATTGAAGCCTAAATTATCCTATTTGCCTCAGAAAAACTTTTTGTTCAATTCCACTCTTTTTTTTCAAACCGAAGACTTTTTGACTTTAATAAAATAGCTGTATGAATGCATTCTGCGGTATATACGCGGACCGATCTTTGCCGTTCGTTTTTGTACTTTCAAGCTTTTCTACTTGAAAAACATAGCCAATCGAAGATTGGAAAAGAGTAATAAACGCAAAAAACACGGACTTTCTTTAAAAAATCTCTTGAAAAAATCTCAACTTTAGATTTTCAAAGAAAAAATAGATACCCTTTAAGCTCTTTGAATTTCTAGAACAATTAATGATTGGCGCTTTTTTGATAAAATGAACCCAACTTGAGAAAACTGGATCAATAGGTAAAATTTTTATTGCGCTAGGAAATCTTAAAATAAATTCCACTTTCGAAACTAGAAATCGTTCACGTTTTTTTGCGCCATTTCCACATTCGTATTTGGAGAGTGCTAATTAGGTCTTTCAGCAGATGAAATTCAATTGAACTCAAAAAGTGCATTATACCTAAGTGCATCAATATTTGAAGACTTTTTCCTGCAAAAATATCAGCAAGGCTTATATAAGTCTACACTACGTTCATTACTCTTAATTAGATGACCGCGAGCCTGAATTTATTCAAGATTATTCAATATTTCGAATTGCCAAAAATATTCCAGTTTCCAGTACTTCCACAAAACCTGGTTAAACTTTTCTCCCTAAAACTTGAATCTGAACAAAGGCGAAGCTGCACTTAGCAAAAAACAAATAACAATACGCCAAGAAGTAGCTTTAAAAGGTTTAAGAAAAAAACAAGAAATGATAAAATAACGACTGCCCTCTACAAGACTTGATCCACAGACCTCCAGCAGCCAAATCGACTCTCTTACAACAGAGCCAGTGATGCTTAAAGCGCTGAAACGCTAGTCACTAATGAAGCGGAGAACACATACTATTACACTGCCAATGCATTGCAGCAAAGTGCCAATAAATGAGCACTTTAAATTGCGAGCTTGTGTAAAAACAGATTGGACGCCTAATCAACTAATTAGAACAACGGATAGATTAGTATCTGGAATAGAAAACTCCTCAAATTTGTGGCTGGCAATTCTATTTTTAAAGCAACAAGAAAAAATTGCAAATATGAAAACCAGTTCACTTTTTTTTCCGGAATGAATATATCTTAATAAAATCTTGGCAATCGTAATGGAGAAGTATCAAACCTATTTCAGAATGGAAAAAGATTTTTGAACAAAAGCGACTGTAGCGGTTGTGTACACCTCCACTCTCCAGACATCAAAAGTAAAGCTCATAGATGTCAAAATTTGCGGAAATTGACTTACTGCATTGATAGAATGAATTAAGCGACACTTGATCTAGAGTGAAAAACTTCTAGTGACGCGATTCGAACCTGTTCCAAAGGCAAGCAGGGCAGTATTTGCGTATGACTGCGAGTTCAAATCCACTCCATCCAGCAACGCGTACATGGGTTCTCTAGCCTGAAACAAAAGGCGAGCACTAACAGTATAACAAACAGCAAGCGCTAACTAAACATGCATGCATGCTAAAAGAGCACAACAGCGGTTAAACGTAACAAGTTGTGATTGCCTTTCCTTTGTGGATAAAAGGTCTTAAATCCAAGATCTGAAGAGACTAACAATTCATTACAGTATTCATTGCGCTCGAGGTTTATGAATAATTTGTCCTTAATAACAATGGTTGCTTTTAACTGACGGTTTATGTCATCTCTGATAATCTTCTTGTGCTCGATAACCAAATTAAATTACTCTTACCAGGCCTGAAATCATTCAGCAAAAATCATAATTAACCTCACAGCACGTCAATTAGTGCAATTTTTCTCGCCAATTTTAATTTTTGTTGACCAAAAAATTAGAGGACTACCAAAATGAAGGACAAACTCATTTTGTTTATGAACAAACAGCGAGTGTGTCTAACTAAGCGAAGAGTTGTTTGATTGTAAGTGAAGTGAAGATAGTTTGTAGAGGAGCCAGCATTTACCTGTGTGGCCATGACGAAGTGATGGTCTGCGACTATGAGTGCCTGTGGAGGGTAGAGTGACTCACTCAGTCTGCTCCCCACTCTCATGTCCAACTCCTCCGTGCTGTACACCTTCAGCTCAGTCGTCACTTGCTCCAGCTCAGAGATCAGATACTAAGCCACAATTCAAACATTTCAGCATGTCATTCCAGCACGCTAATGGAAAACTGATTTTACTTAACACGTTGTTCCAATAAAAAAATATTAATTCCAATCTGATAACGCTTTCTAATCGCAAGCGTAAATATATGAAAATCGTCAAAAATTCTAGAGATGGTCTTAATTTTCTAAAATTTGACTTTTCATTTTAGGTCTTTCATTCTGTTAACCAATTTTGCTTAGCCTGTAAATTTATTTAGATTCATTTTACCACAATTCAAATGCAAGCAAGTAACAGAAAAACTTTATTTGAAACAACTTTTACTTCATCGCGAAAAAACTAGAGCCACAGACTGAACTTCAGAAAAGCACATAAGCGCCAGGCCAGGCAAAGTAGTGATACCGATGCGTTCTTATCGCTGTAGAGTGAAAAGTACTGAGACTGGATCCGAGGAGGCATGAAGCTGACGTCATTGAACACATTGCCGGCCGACTTGGACAAGACGTCGTCGTAGAGGTTGACGAAGTAGAAGTTGTCTGCTGTCCTAGCTCTGTTGCCAGTCACTATTACATTGAAGTCTTCAAGATCTAATTCTTTGGCCAGAGACTTCATATGTTGGCAGTGTTGGAACAGATGATGTTTGGCCGTCGCTAGCACCCTATAAATAGCATTTAATAAAAGAAAATTAGAAAAAACTTAAGTTTTTGTATGAATCATACGAGAATGAAGTGTTGTCTAAAATATCAAACATAGCCATTAGACAGTTGGAAAAGTGTATAAAAACAAGGAAACCAAAAAAAAATTGGTTAAAGACTTCTGAGCATTTGTTAACTCTTAAACTATAACACGTGGAAGCTTTTTGAATTGCAAATATTGTTTATGACTGACAATATTTTTCATTAATTCATCGCATTAACAGAAAAAAGGATCAATAAATAATTTTGTTGGTCTAGAAATTCAAAACATAGCCAACTGACAGTTGGAAGAGATTAATGAACGCAAGAAAACTGAAAAGAAAAACTGGCTTGTTTTTTCAAAATTTTTCAACTTTTGAAAAAAAAACAGATGGCCTTAAAGCTCTTTGAATTTGTAGAACAATCTATGATGGAGACTTTGATGTTAAAATTAACCGAATTTGAGAAAACTGGACAAACAGGTAAAACTTTTATTTCGCTGGGAAATCTGATAATTTATTTCCATTTTGGGAAATTAGAAGTCGACCACGTTTTTCGTGACCTTTACAAATCTGCTGTTCGATAGTAGATTTTGCCTTCCTTTCAACAAAAGAAATGCACTGAACTTAAAAAGTAATTACAAGTCAAACCGCGAAAAATAAAAATTGAGCGTGAACAAATTTTAAGAATTTCTCCTGAAAAAAAATCAGCAAGACCTCTATAAGAGTACTCATTACGTTCATTACTTTTAAAAACCACCAGTCAAGCCACGAAAAAAAAATTGAGCATGAACAAACTTTTTCCTAAAAAAAAACAAAAAAAAATCACTACGTTCATTAATCTTAAAAATTAACATCCATTTTTAAAAATAGAATTTATTCACGTTTTTTGTGACTTTAACACTTTTTTTAATTGATAAGCGTTATTTTAAAGCGTTTGCCTTCCTTTTAACAAAACAATAAAGTGAAATTCAAAAGAAATCAAAAATCGGACCATGAAAAACTTTGCGCGTGAGCAACTTTTTCCCCTAAAATAAACAAGAAAACTCATTAGACCTATTTAAATGAAAATCACTTTAAGGTAGCCGAGAGACAATGGGAATAGAGTCAATGAACGCAAGTAATCAGAAAAAATACTGGCTTGTTTTTTGAAAAAAATCTCAACTTTCGAATATCCAAGAAAAAACTGCCTTTAAGCCCTTTGAATTTCTAAAACAATTTATGATTGACAATTCTTTATATAAAAATAATCCAATTTGAGAAAATTGGATCAGTAAGTAAAAATTCTATTTCACTGCGAAATCTGATAATTTTTCAATTCCATTTTCGAAATCAGAAATGGATCACGTTTTTGGTGATCTTTACACTTTTGCTGCTCGATAGCGGAGATTGCAAAGGTAACAACGGTAAGGAACTGAACTTAAACAAATCAGAAGTCAAGGCGCGAAAGAGTAAATCTAAGCCTGAACAAATTTAAGACTTTTCTTGGAAAAAAAATTATGACGACAGTCTGAACTAAGTTATTTAGAGTACAATCTCTGAACAATTCCACCAAATGCACTTGATAAAATAATTGTTATTCATGAGAATTATTGTTAGAGTATTTATTCGGAAAAAATGAAGCTGCTTACGTAAGATATATTTTGCACCAATAGGACTCACATAAATCAAACACAGAAAACTTCTTACTCATCACATTGAAGCCTAAATTATCATATTTGCCTCACAAAAAACTTTTGTTCAATTCCACTACTACTTTTTATAAAACCCAAGACTTTTTTGACTTTAATAAACTTAGCTGTATGCATGTATTCAGCGGTATATACGCGGACCGAGCAATCTTAACCGTTAGTTTTTGCACTTCCAAGCTTTTCTACTTGAAAATTAGATTGCAGCGAGCCTAAAACTGTTTCAAGATTATTTAATATATCGAATTGCCAACTGTTCAACACAGAAGCGAAGCTGAGCTTCGCACCTTTTGCGTTACAAAACAAGCAACTTCGAAAAAATTGAAAATGTCAAAAAAACTACATCTATAAAAATGAATAAGGCTAGTTTTGGGACAAAAACATGCCATGACAACAAAATGTGAAATAAGCATCAGAAAAAAATTAACCAAGCGGTAAAAAGCCGAAAATACCTCAGCAGAAACCTCTTAAGCCGAAATAAAATCAAAAAGACAAAAAGGAAAAGAAAAAAAGCCGAAACAAAAAATCTTGAAATAAAAAAGTAAAAACTCTATTACAAATTTTAGCATTTCGTGCAATCTAGGGGGAGCATAAACAATATGACTACCTTCAAACCACTCAAAAATAGGCCACTAAGCCGGTGAAATTTAAGCCGAATCATTTGAGCAAAATAAAGTTTTTAAGCGGAAAAAAATATACGAAATCAAGGTTAATGAAATTATAAATAACAGAAAAAACACTAAAAACAACAACAAGCTAGCTTGCGTAGAGCAAAACAAAATATTTTTACGATGTGGCAACTAAGCCGACAAAATATAAGCTGACAAATAATCAGCCGACAACTTTTTTCGAAACGGAATATTTCCCGTTTGAAAAAAAAACAGGTCCTGTCAGATTCTAACCCAAGACCTTTGCCATCCCAAGCGTAATCGTTAGCACCAGACCAAGTGTTCCGCAGAACCACCAAATTGAATTTATTATCAACTGAGCCTAAATTTATCATTCCTAATTTTGACAATTCTGTGAACAAAGTTATTAACGGAAAAAGTCTAGTACCCGATTGCAATACCATTGCTTATCTCAAAGGTAAAAAACAGATAGCCTGTAAAATCTGTCAGTTTCTAGAAGAATTTACGATGGGCGATTTTTGATAAAACTGACCCAATTTGAGAAAACAAGATCTGGGAAATCTAAAAATTAACTCCGCTTTCGAAACTTGAAGACAATCCCTTTTTTCGCGACCTTTATACTTTTGCTGTTCGATAGTGGATTTTGTCATCCTTTTAACAAAGGAAAAGAAATGGAATTTAAAAAATCAAAACAAACCCGAAAAAGTAAATTTGAGCCTGAACCAATTTTATGACTTTTCCTGAAAAAAAATCATCGCGACCTATATAAGAGTCTGAACTACGTTCATCGACTCTTAAAAATCCACACGTTCATTAACAAATTATCAACAGATATGATCACACTAATTGATGTCAGGTTGGGTCGTTTCAGATGAGCTTACCTGCGTTAGACGGATCTAAAGTAGCAATCGAGCATTTTACAGACAACAGTATTATTATTATTTAATAGCTAGTTGAATATTATTATTCAACAGTTTAAACTAAAAACTAATGTATTTCACACCTCGAGGCCGAGGAGTGGGTTATGGAAACCAGTCACGTTATGTTGCATCGAAATAAACAGAGGGCGAAGCAGCTTATTGGTTTAGAAGCAAGCTCAGGGGAGATAAATCGCAGAAAAACTCAGTTTAATTAATTTGTGCTTGGGGAAAGGCAATGCTGGTTGCATTTAGCGTGTCTAATGAGAAGTGAGATGGCTTTCCTTTTTTTCACAAAATTTTTGGGCCCAAAAACAAACTCCATTTAGAGATTTTATAGATTGCATTTTTATCTCTGCTTATGTTATTCTAAAAAAAGTTGGAGCATTTCTTCATTTCATTTGTTCAATCTCGCCATGTTCAAAACGGGGAGGCCGATTGCTTGCACTTACTTCTTTTTCATCTATGCATACCAAAAGTGCTTCCAATTCTACCTTACCGTTGCCAATTGCCTCGCTTGCTTTAAATATGTTAAGTGAATTAGTCAGTTGAAATTTCATGACCACACCAAACCAAGCTAATAAGGAACATCCAATGTTAAATATACAGAAACTTTCAATAATTCGGCTAGACAAAAATTACTAAGCAGTACAAAATGTAGAAAAAATACGTCATATTATTAGAATTTGTAATTTTCAGGTGCAATTGTAATGAAGTACTAATTTTTACTCAGTGACTATTAACTTTAAAAAAAATTTTCGATCTTTTTTGGATTGATATTTATTTTCCAAATGGAGTCCCTCCAAAAAAATTAAAAGACACAATTTTGATAACCTAAAGCCGTACCAGATGTTCCGTTTCGGCACTTTTTGAAGGTTTTGACAAAAAATGTATGGCCCCTGATCCCCCTCAAAGTTAGTATATGTAGATCTGAAGGCTCTTGAAAAATTTCAGAATTTTAGAGTCGGTTAGCCAAAAATGATAGTGCCCAGTTTTTGACGATACCTACAACGAAAATTTTCTTTTTTTTTAAGTAAAAAACTAACTCTGTGTAATCGGATTTTAATTCGAACTCGTTTTCGGGAATGAATTGGTCGAACATGAACACGACATTGGTCTCTTTCTTAATTGAGTCTTTCATCGCAGCTTCCAAGGATGCATTGGACAGGGCGAATGTCTTCACACATTCGAGGTTGTCCAGGGGCTTGCACAGGTTGGAGCCGTACACTGTCACATTTTTCTCTGCGGTGATTAAAAATAATTCGATTTTAAAATTTATAAACTCAACTAAATTTATATATTTGTTCTACGATTTCTCTACTATTTCCCCAAGACCAGCTGTCCAAAAAAATTTCATAGAGACGGAAACAAGAAAATCAAAAAAAAAGTTTTTGGAAAAAATGAAAATAATTTCAGAAAAACAGTCGAAAACACAATCACCAGTATTAACTAAGATTTTAGTACTAGCCAATTGATACCTAAGCCGGCATGTAGGTAGACGCCCATTGAGCCGAAAACAAAAAAAGCTATAAAAATTGTTGTAATAAGAAAATTTTGAGCAATTGAGTTGTAAAATTAACTTGCAACAGAAACTACTTGAACTTCTCAAGAAATATCATCAGTTTTCTTTTTTTTGCCTTTGAAGCGACACAGAAATCACCGATTTGGCAACTAAGCCGACAAAACATAAGCAGACAATCCGACAATTCAATTTTTCCGGGAAAAAATTTCAATTTCATACATACTGAAAAAAAAAAACAAGGTCCTCCGACCGGGACTCGAACCCATGACCGTAGGGTACAAAGACATCAGCGTTACTTCGTTTTTAGGGTGAAAAAGTCGTTCCCGATTACAAGACACTTGCTCCCGCAAGTTAAACATACTGACTCAAAATCTGTATCAGAAGTGAAACTTCTATCGCAAAAATGCTACAAAAATCGTTTGAGTTTTGATGGTGGTATCCTAAATCGAGAACAATGAAAAGACGTCAATTCTCAATGCCACTGTGACAATTATTTATATATTTTTTCCAAAACCATGTATAAATTTTTTCTTTATGATTAACACAATAATTCTTCTCTCTGGTATATTCATACCAGTGACAGAAGTATTACCTCCAGTTTTGGCCAGATGAGTCCATATGGGATGGAAGTGAGTCCACCACTGGGTCGACATGTCTATCTCTCCTTCAGCGTCGTCTGTGTTGTAAGAGAAGGACAGTTTGGCCTCTGAGTCATAGAGGAAGTTGTCGATGAAGTTGTGCTGATGAGGTTGCAGACCTTTCAAAAAGATTAGTCTTATATTTTCTCATCAAGGTCACCAATGAAACTTCACAACCATGCCTTAATTCTTTCTGTGCCAACTCAAGATTAAAATTAGTCCGTCCCCGGTAGCTGAACAAATACTTTTCTCTTGTTTTTGGCTCGACTGTAAGAGTGCATTGAGGAAGAAAGAGCGATTTTTAGGCATTACAGGAGAAAACTTTAAACAAAAAATCGATAAAAAATCTGCCTTCAACGATATTTTAGCAGAAAAACTGAAATTTCTTCAGCAAAAAATCTAACAAAACTGAAAGATGGTTGTTTTTTTTTTAAATTTAATATCCGGGAATCAAAAATTGATATAAATTTTGAAAATTATTTTTATAGCTCAGCAAAATCAGTGAAACAAATCTTCCAATAATCAATTGAAGTAATTCGGTTAACTGATCTGGTAAAATACTGGAACTTCATTTCATTGAACGCACCCCAAGTAATAATATCATAACAAATGTCAAAAAGTTTAATTATGTTACTAGCCAAAAAATGTAATTTATAATCTTTTGAGTTATTGCGCCCAATTTATCAAACCTCAATTGCGCATCTGGGATTTTCAAAAAAATTTCGAGATTTTTTTGTAGGTCGGCCAAATTGATTTTTTAAGCTCTGCAAAGCACTAAAAAGACCCATTTTTGGCCAAATTTTTGGTGGCGCAAGCAAAATTTTGAAAAACATAATGCGTTTTGAGGCACTTTTTGGACATTTTTGACGAAAAAATCGCGTTTTTTCGGCGCGCGCTCCCACCTCAAGTTAAAATATATTTCAACTTATTGTTTAAGTGTCAGGTAATGTAGCGAACACATTTGTATAGGTCAATTCGATTTTCCTTTTTTTGTTGATCTTACACAAATTTGATATTTCACAGATGCACAACATTTCTTTATAAGTATAGTACAGTTCAAATTCATTTGCTAAAACGAAAGCAAAGTCCGCTCTCTCCAATTAACGAAAGTTCAAATGACGCGAAAAAACTTGAATGGCTTTTAACTTCAAAAAAGAATTTTCACTTTAATATATACCAACGGCATAAAACAATTGCCTATACTGGATTAATAGGTAATTGTTTCATGCCGTTGGTATATTAAAATGCTAATTCATTTTTGAAATTAGAAGCCATTCAAGTTTTTTTCGCGTCATTTGAACTTTCGTTCATTGGAGAGAGCGGAATTTGCTTTCGTTTTAGCAAATGAATTTGAACTGTACTTATAAAAAGAAATGTTGTGCATCTGTGAAATATCAAATTTGTGAAAAATCAACAAAAAAACGAAGATTAACTCGACCTTTACAAATATCTCCGCTATGTTCCCTGAAACTTGAATAGAGTAAGTTGCATAATTATTCTGCACCAGAGACGCACCTGTTAGGAGAGATGCAGTGGAAGGGAGGGTGAGGGGTGGGAACACTGAGGAGAGTGAGAGGGGGAAGGAGGCGCCCAGGGAGTCCAGCTGGTCCTGGGAGGAGTCCGACTGAGTCACACTTGGCAACAGGCCATCCAGCACCAACACGAACAGCTTCCTAAGAAAAACAATCAAACATTTGCAGAAAAAAAAGCGAGAGCAAATCCAAAATTCTGTCAACGAAGCCCCACTAGGAGATGAAATTAGAAACAGACAAACAAAAACAGAACATGAGACACTAAATTAGTTATCATTGCATACTTTAATGATCATTAATTTGTCCAGTTTGTTCCGACCATTGAAAAAAGGGATAAACTTTGATTTCTGGTGTATTTTAGTTTTTTTGTTTAAAAAAAAGTATCTCAGTGTCGAGAAAATGTCTTAGTCTAACTTTGAGCGAGTAAAGCAGGCGAGCAGGCTAATTATAAAAAAGATGGGCTATGAAAATTCAGTTTTACTCCAGTTAACTAATTTTTGAGGTTTATAGCCAAAACAAAAAAAACGTAGAAAATTTTATAAATTTTGATTTTTTTTATATAATGTCTCGACGAAAACCGTTGCGTATTTTTCTTTGACTGTCGATTTTCTTTGACTGTCGAATACGCCCAAATTTGAGGTGTTAGTCATATCCTTTCATCACACTACGCTCAAAAACAACATTAATTTGAAAAAAAAAGCATGAACAAAATTTTCACATATATTTCTTAAGAATATGGTGGGGACAATCTGTACAGGCTATCCTCTTCCTCGTCGTAGATCCGTAAATGTTGAGATTGACCGAAAACTTAAAGCAAAATCCGAATCTTATATATATATATATACATACACGAGATAGAAACATGTTAAATCACGTTTCCAAAAGCCAAGCTCTGAAGTTAAGGCCTAGGAAATTAGACGACAAGCAAATTAGACGATCGTAAAGAAACGGAATTTAAGGACAACCAATATTTACTCAGCCAAAAGTTAATTTAAGTATGTAGCAAATTTCACGCAATTTGCACGCAAGATATTGTCTAAATTGGACAACCAGTATTTACTCAGCCAAAGGATAATTTAAGTATGTAAACAAATTTCACGCAAGTTATTTTCTGATCGTCCAATTTGCTTGTCGTCTAATTTCGTAAACCCCTCTAACGTTTTATTCAAAATTTCATTTTCTAATTCCAATCACGCTGTAAGTGCTTCAATGTGGATTCACAATGTCGGTAGAAGGGGCTAACTGCGCGTAAAAAATATAAGTTTTGATTATTTTTGGGTAAAAGGAAGAAAAATTAACCTGTTCGCCGCAGCTGGATTGAGCTCAGCTTCTTCCGTTTTGGTTTCATTGTTCTCCAAGATAACTCGGTTGATTTGAAGGGCTATACTGACAAGGCACAAAAACATGCAACCCTGATTCATATTTGGCACATTTTTCTTAGGCAGCATTTTTGTTGATCTGAAAGTTCACAATGAAACAATTCTGATGCACTACAATGTTTCGGCGAAAATACGATTTAAAACAATCCAACGGTTTTATTACGAATCAACGCTGATTTAACCAACGATAAAACATCAATTTTTTGATGTACTAACCATAACCAACTGCAGTGTTATAGAATAAATTCAAAACTATTTATATTACGTGAACAATGAAAAAATTTTAAGTGATTTGACACGCCACTTCGATTGAGGACTATAATTGGACCACAGTCTGACTATAGCTAGTTACTAAAGCGTCAGCAGGACTTAACAAAGATACCAAATTTATGGTGCGTGAAAGAATAAAGAAAGACATCGAAGAGTGTTCAATGTTTCCAAAAAAAAGCCACAAAACTGCCGAAAAAAAATACATTTAAGACGATGAGTATCGAATGTCTCGCCTGATATTAAGAATAAATACAAATAATTCTTTCTAGGAAAAAAAAACATATTTTCTTCCATATATAGGAAACCACTGTCACGCATACGGGTTAGCAACAAAAAATTTCACAGTGACCCAAACAACAATCAAAAAACAGTTTTTGGGAAAAAATGAAAATAATTTCAGAAAAACAGTCGAAAACACAGTCACCAGTACGAACTAAGATTTTAGTACTGGCCAATCGATACCTAAGCCGACAAAAGGGTACACACCCATTGAGCCGAAAACAAAAAATGCTAAAAAAAATTGTACAAAAATTTTGAGCAATTGAGTTGAAAAATTAACTTGCAACAGAAACTACCTGAACTTTTCAAAAAATATCAATCATTTTTCTTTTTTTTTTGCCTTTGGAGCGACACAGAATGAGGTGAATAAGCCAATAGAAAATAAACCGAAACCATATAGGCCGAAGAAAACTTTAAAGCCGAAAAATAAGAAAGAAGAAACACGGAAAACATACAACGAAGGGGTATTAATCTTAGAAATTTTTATGAGCGAACTAAAAACACTTAAATCGACGATGAAAATCGCTGACAGCAAGAAACAAATCACCGATTTGGCAACTAAACCAACAAAACATAAGCAGACAAATCTACAATTCAATTTTTCCGGGAAAAAAATTCAATTTCATACATACTGAAAAAAACACCTGGACTCGAACCCATGATCTAAGGGAGCAAAAACATCCGTGTTATATCGTTGTTTAGGGGAAAAATCGTTCCCGATTACAAGACACTTGCTCACACAAGTTAAACACACTTACTCAAAATCTGTATGAGAAGTGAAACTTCTATCGCAAAAATGCTACTAAAATAGTTCGAGTTTTATGGTGGTCTCCTAATTCGAAAAAACTGAGAAGACGTCAATTCTTAATGCCACTGTGTCATTTCTTTATATTTTCCCAAAACCATGTATAAACTTTTTCTTTTTGATTAAATCAATAATTCTTCTCTGTGGTATATTCATACCAGTGACAGAATTATTACCTCCAGTTTTCGTATCACCTCAGTAAAGGTCTGAAAGATATATCTGGTGCAATTGATTTTGCACTAGGCTGAGAACCTCCAGTTTTGGCCAGATGAGTCCATATGGTATAGAAGTGAGTCCACCACTATCTCTCCTTCAACGTCGTCTATGTTGTAGGAGAAGGAAATTTGAGACGATTTAAGACGATGAGCATCGAATGTCTCGCCTGATATTAAGAATAAATACAAATAATTCTTTCTGGGCAAAAAACATATATTTTCTCCCGTATATAGGAAACCACTGTTACACATAAGGGTTAGCAAAACAAACATTTCAAATTTTGCCATCAGACAAACATTCAATAAACATAGCACACAAACAGTTGGACAAGTGTCAGTGAAATCAATGAAACCGAAAAAAGTGAGATTTAAACATTCCTTACGTTTTTTCCGGAATTTCGAAAGTTGAGAAATGTTTAAATCTCTTCCAACTGATAATTTTTTCCAAATGCCTGTGAGCTATATTTGTTGAATGTTTGGTTGTCTTATGAATTCGTTTTGAATTTGTTTTGCGTTCGACCTTCGAGAAAAAACGTATCTCTTATTAATGACATTATTCTCATACAAACCCCAATAAAAACACTTGATAAGTAATTTCTCTACTTGACATCCTTTTTCAACACTTAAATAACATTGACGCTTTCAACACTTTTTCAACACTTAAAGTCATTGACTCTTTTTCAAAATAACATCCTTTTTCAACACTTAAAGTCCTTTTTCAACACCTAATATAACATCCTTTTTCAACACTTAAAGTCATTGACGCTTTTTCGCGCCATTTACACTTTCGTAATTCAAAGCGTAATTGGCTAAACAAAAAAATCGAAATTGCGCGCAATCAAACTTCATGATTTTTGACTTTAAACCAGAAGGCCTAAATAAATGATCAACCAACAGTTGTAAAAAACTAAAGAAAACCAAAAAAGTTTTTAAATTTTCAGCATTTCAAAAAATATATATAATCTCAAAACTAACCACATCTGATTCAAGTAATACAGATCAAACTCAGATCAAACCAACAACTAATCATTCTCAAACTGAAACTAGCCTCAATTCAATTTGGAACGACTTTTTTTTCAAAAATCAAGAACCTTGTTCGAAATTTTTTCGATAAACCTAACCAAATTTGGGAAAACCGGATCAAGAGATATTTCATTTTGTTGAATATTAGAAATGTAGATCAATTTTGGAAACAGACCATTCAAGATTTTTCGCGTCACTTACACTTCGATTGGTGGAGAGCGTAATTTGCCTTGCAATAACTAATAACAAAAAAAATCAATCAAGTGCCGTAATATAAATGAGAGCACAGAAACAATTCAGCCAAAAACAATTGAGCCAATTTCAAATCCAGACACTTCAGCTTAAAAAACTTAAACCGTTTGCCCAAATTAGATTCAAAAGACTAGATCAACAAAAATTTTAATAATAAAAGTGAAACATCAAGAAACAGGTTTCAAAGATTACAACGAATTTGCTATAAGTAAACTTTTTAGTATACCTGTACATTGAAGTTGTAACGTTTTCAATATTTCAATATAGTCTCGATTGTAGTTACTTGCATTTTGGTACGAGTGACTCGTTGACGCTTGAATACTTGGGGTTGGAATTTTTAAGAGTATCAACGGTCATAAGTCTTTGTACTGATATGGGCAATTTTAGCTCATGTTTTAAAAAATGTGACGCGCATGGGAAGGTATGTGTGGTTTTGTCGACAAGAATTAGTTCAAATCTATCAAACCACCTAACAAATTACTTGAAAAATTACTAGACGTTCGAAGTAATTGTTCCGACCATAGAACCTGGAAAGCGGGGATGAGCTTTGTCTTCAGACATTTTTTTTCCACGCAAATCAGGTACCATAAATAATATCATCGGAATTAGATCCATTGACATATCATTAAAAAGTCCTTTTAACCATAAGAACCACATAAAAAATTCTACTAAATTTTGTGACGAGAAAAACCATTTTGAAATTTTTGATTTTAGAGTAACTTCGAGTGAAAAATACAAGCAAACAGGTTTTTTCTGGTAGGTTTATAATTCAAGTTGAGCCATAGACATTTACTTTTACCCCAGTAAATTTAGTTTTCTAGTGCCTTCTTGGGAATAAAGAACCTTTTAAAAAAGTTTTAAAAAACTCTGAAAAGTGTTTTTTAAATGTGCATAAGCTTTTTGTTTTCCATTTTTTTTAGAAAGCTGTAGTCTTAAACGCCTACCTCTTTATTACAATCGAATATGCAGTCTTTTCGCACACTGTGAAAAAAAAACACAATTTGACACAGCGGCGAAGCGGAGCTGTGCATCACGTGCGATACAACGCAAGCCTAACATTACAAGCTAGCGAACAGAGGCGGAAACAACTTGTCAAAAAACTGTCGAGATTAAAACAAGCAATAAGAAATCGTTAAAAAACTTTAATCGATCAATTGAATCACAAGCGACATGAACTTGAAAAACTAATTTGTCCTTCAAACGGTACAAAAACAGTTGACTGGGCCGATACAACAAAAGCCAAAACCATGTAAGCTGAATGAAACTTTCAAGTGATAAAAAATGGACAAATATTGAAGCCAGATTATGTACATTTTGAATTACAGGAAAAAATCATCAATACTTGCAATTACAGGAAAAGTTGCCTACACTACAAAATCTGTGATGTGTCAACTAAGCCGACAAAACATATGCAGACAAGTAATAGGCCGGCAATTTTTTCCTGAAAAAAACTTCCGATGAGATTGTTTTTGGAATAAATGAAATACTCAATTGAATAAAAACAGTCGGTAACAAAAATACCAGCATTAAATAAGTTTTTATTACTTATCTAGCGGCCACTCAGCCGAAATTAAGTGGTTTTTGCCCTGCAAACAATTAAAATTAAGTTGACAGAATCAATACAACATAAACCGAAGCCATGTAAGCCGAATGGAAAAAACAAAACAAAAATAGAAACAACCAACCTGAATTAATTTAAAACAAGCATTAAAAAACCTGAATTAATTTAAAACAACTAATTTTTGCCCTTCAAACAATTAAAATTAAGTTGACAGAACCAATACAACATAAACCGAAGCCATGTAAGCCGAATGGAAAAAACAAAACAAAAATAGAAACCAGGGCTAGTAAATTTTGAACTACAGAAAATCAACAAAATTTGCAATTAAAAAAGTGCTAATATCTCAAAAAATCATTGATGCGTCAAGTAGGCTGACAAAGCATACACAAACAAGCAATAGGACGACAATGCAGTTTTCACCGAAAATAATTTTCAGATTCAAATATACTAAAAAAAACAAGGTCCGGCCGGGATTCAAAACCCTGACCTTATGTTGTAAAACGACGGTGTTACCTCTGGGCCAGGCGCGAAGCAACCTGATCGTCGTTAAGACTCAACAATAAAGCAAGCTGAAAATTAGTAGGAAGAGTTGTTTATGGACAAAACTCTAGCTCACGATTAGAAAACATTTGCTCTCGCAAGTGTAAAACATAGCCAACAGACAGTTGGAACAGTCAATGTACGCAATTTAACATTTTAATATTTTTTTTGTATTTCGCTGGGATATCTGAAAATAAAACCCACTTTCATACTGGAAGTCAATAACATTTGTCGTGAACTTTACAGTTCAGCTGTTCGATAGTAGACGGCGAAAAAGTGAATTTCAAGACTTTTACTGAAAAAAAAAGAAAAATCATCGCGGCATATACGAAAGTCTAAGCTACGTTCATCGAATCTTAATATAAAAGAAACTTCTTTTTACTATTCTGGTGGGAACTTTCTGTGACACTTGCACAGCAACCGGGTATCTCTGTTTGAAAATGCAAAACTATCTAAAAATTGAACTTCCCAGTAAATTAGCGAATACTCAGAAGTCCGACTTAACTCGGACTTCCGTTTTGTTCCGAGTAAAAATCAGCCAACATTTTCTTTTAGTTTCTGCCGTTTTCCCAACTCTTACACAACCAAATCGTCATTAATTGTTTAATCAACTATGCGTCAAAAATTCAAACCTATACCTTCATCGGTTGTAGACAGTGAGATGCACGTGAATAAAACACTCGTTCATTTGCTCTGTTGAGTAAAAAAAAGTTGTAACTTCTTTCTCCCGGGACTTTAAAAGCAAACATTCTTGTCTGGTGACTAAGACATGATTAAACATCCCAATGTCAAAGCTGGATTAAAAAAAGAACAATCAAAAACAGTTAATTCTTATTGCACAAGTCAAATTGCGATAATTAGTTCATTGCTTGACATACCAATTTCAACAAATTCAAGTATTTTAAAAAAGATATCATATTAAATTAGAAAGCATTGGCTACAAAACAATAGACAAAAAGCAAAATTTCACATCTTGAAGCAACACTGGTTCACAAGTCGCCCATTTCAAACAACAATACTAAAAATTACACCTTGGAACAAAAGGTACTATCATCCGTTGTTTTTAAAAACAGAGCATAAAAAATCAGCTAAATTTTAGATAAGATAGATGGTATTGTCAGAAACCATCACTTGATTGGCATCTTGCATTTTCTCCAGGAACAAAACCATTTCAGGCCTCTCCAACTCAGATTCAATTTCATTCACGTTTTTCTCAAGGTCATCCATAGTAATTTCCTGGACTCTTTTTGAAACAAACACAGAGTTCAGTGCCTTCCTGAACTTCGAGTATCTTTCTTCGTCAAACACAGCAAGAGGATCTGAAGTTTTGTCTGCGGGTTGCGAATCTTTGGCCCCAGCCTTTTTAGTCTTCTTCGGAACGCCTGGTAGGGCAGGTGTGACACCATCAGCGTCAAGGTCATAGGGATCCTTCTCGGCTGTCTCGCCAATGGTTCCCTTGCGGATTCGCTTGGCAGCTGCTTTGGCGTCAGTGTGAGTCACATTTTCGGCTGGTTGTTCATCGGCTACAGCATCCGAGACTCTGCCTCGCTTCTGGGTCCTAGCTGTAGTCCCGGTGTGAACACCTTCCTCGCTCTCGTTGCCCGAATCCATATCTGCTTCACGTGCTTTGGACTTGCGGGTCAGAACTTTCTTGAAGAAGGCGTACTCGATCAGTTGAATAGAGGCTTCCGCGTCCTGTGCTTCGATATATTTACTCAACCTCGCTCTGGCATGCGCAGTTGAAAGTCGGATCAAAGTTTCCAGGGTTCGAACAGTCACTGGTTGAGTCCTGGCGGTCTGAGTGTCCTTGTTGTAGATATCTTCTGCTCGTAATTTGACGTACTCTTCAGAAATGAGGTCTCTGGCCTCTTTGGTCAGCTGGGGCGCGATGCTCTTCGCAAACTGGATGTACTTGCGCATAAACTGGATGCTCACAATTCGCTTTCCCTTCTCTTTGGGTCCATGGAGTAGGTTGTCGTGTTTATCGTACACTTGAAAGTCAGTGATATCACTGTTATCCTGAAACACGTTCAAAATAGACGTTTAAAATCTTAACATGTGCTTGCCAAAAACTGCAACTGAATACGGAGCGATTTGGATTTGCCTATTCATTTCTGAAATATTTGAACCGCTCTGATTGCCAGTCATCGAGGACTCACTCTATTTTTGTTTTGTTTTAAAAATTAATATACAAATTTACCTCAGTGAGATTCTCAGTGGTGAGAGCATCAACTCCGCCTCCGAACGGCAACACGTCTCCGTCCTGCTGGTCCGATGGTCTGTACCTGTGGATTCTCAACACATGGTCAGCAATATTTCCATCTTGCTCCGCATTCATTTCATCCAACAGAACAAATAGAACATCGAAACGCGACAGAAGCGAGTCCTGCAGTCCAATATTCTCCATTGGCGTTTTGTACTGGTCGTAGCGCCCATACACTGGATTAGCAGCCGCCAAAACCGAACATCTCGCATTTAGTTGAGCGTGGATGCCCACTTTTGAGATTGAAACACGACCTTGTTCCATCACTTCGTGAATAGCAGTTCGATCAATATCCGACATCTTATCGAACTCGTCAATACATACGATTCCTCTATCAGCTAAGACCATGGCCCCAGCCTCCAGTCTTTTGTCGCCTGTCTCCGGGTCCACCGTCACAGCAGCTGTCAGACCAACACCCGAGGATCCTCGCCCTGTGGCCGGAATCGCTCTCGGAGCTGTGTTCAAAACGTACCTCAACATTTGAGACTTGGCTACGCTAGGATCTCCGATTAACAGAATATTGATATCTCCTCTCAAGCGAGTTCCGTTGTCCAACGTCTTCTCAACGCCTCCCAGCAACATACACAGAAGGGATTGTTTAACATATTTATGTCCGTGAATTGTAGGCGCAAGTGAGTTCGACAGCTCCTCGAATAGATCAACATTCTTTTGACGAGCGAATTTGCGGATTTTTGTCAGATCTTCAGCCGTGAAGACACTTTTGACTTCTTTGCTCATAACTTTCACATTGTTACACAGCAGAATAGAGCGAAAATTTCCGCTGGTATATCCCCCTTGCTTATTTGGTAGACATCGGTACACACCAATCGCCAGAATACGGTCACCCGGTTTGCATTTATCAACCAGGTCATTGTCACATACAATTTCCACAGACCTCGGTAGTTGTCCAGCAGGAGCCTTTTCCGGCATCTCTTGAATAGTCACAGTTTGATGATCTTTATAAGTTGAGAGACCGTACTCGGTCTCCAGTGGATTTCCGTCCTCGTCTTTCGTCGGGTAGGCGCTGCTTGTCGGAAACGCTTCTAAGGACGTCATGTCAGTATAGCGTCTCTCAATTGTCTTTTGCGTCGCGGGACAATAGTGCACACTCTTCACCACTTTCGGTCTGATCAAAGAGCATTTCGTAACAATTCCTTCCACACAAACAAGCTTTCCCAAGTACCGGGCACTCAATGTTCGCGGTGTCACGTGATTGCCTCCGAAGCTGCCTTCGAAACCCACGAAAAACTCGCCGACTGTCTTTCCGAATGCGGGATCAACAGTTGTGACGAACTCTTTCAGTGTTTTCTCGATCGCAATGATCTCTTCAAAGGAGGAGTTGAGCAGCATGTTGCATCTACTCGGGAACTTCCTCCGAAGGTCGTTCAAGTTGATCACGAGTCGGCACTCGTTCTGTTGGATCATGTCCCGCACTTTGCCCGCGTAGATGTCCTGGTCTGCTGTGTCATCCAGGAAGTCCATGTAGGACCTCTGCAGCTCCCGCATGCGCTCATCACGAAGAGTAACGTCCATGTTTACAAACTCAAACAGTCAAGATCTGAAATTAAAATTTTACCTACTTTAATTGCAATTTCAGAAAATCTCCTTTTTCGCCATAGAAGAATTTTGAATCCACCAGCTGGGAATCTAAACTGAAGCACAATTATTAAAGCTTAACTCATTAAACTTCCGGACATCCAATCGTATTTTCTTAAATGCTACTCAAGTTCATCGGCAACACAGCTAACACTCTCGAAAAAATTCCGCGACAAATTAAGCATAAGTTTAAAGAGAAGAAATGGTCAAATTAATTGACTTCCTAATCTTGCTGAGCTGAGTTTCGACCTGAATATGAGTCTTATTAATTCAAAAATTCATCAGAAATTCATGCGATGTCATTAAAATTTCATTAACAAAAGCGGAAGTCTTTACAAGTCCCAAAACTGTTACACAAAAAAGAACTTCAATCACATGCGTGCAAACAAAGAGCTGTCACGCGGTCTATCAATATGATTACATCTTTGTACCAAAATGAACATCTCAACCGCTCAAAAGGAGCAATAAATGAGAGCAAAATTGAGATTTCAGAACCATTTTATGATCGTTTTCCTTAATGAAGCGTGAAACATTCTATCTGAAAGCATAAATAATTTTGGAACACACAGCCATATCAGCTAATAATATTTATTGTATAATTGAAATAAGACGGATTTCATGGATGGGCATACAACATCTATCATCATTTCGGATACTTCGAGTGCAAGTTCGGAATGTCGAGACGTCATGCCACTTGCGAATCAAATGAGGGGCCGCAGACCCAGTTTCCAACACATGTACCATCCGAAGAGACGCCCTTCCACTGTCTTCTTACACGATCTCTACAAGCAACAGTTAGTACGTTTTCATTATTCATTCCACACTTCCCGCTATGAAGACCAAATTCACACTTTTTCACATTTCGTCACTTGCTGAAACAAATAAAATGTAGCTGAAAATAATTAGCTATTGCTATTTGTACAATTAAAAACTCAGTCTGTCTATTTGGCTATAGGGCGCATTGCAAGTGGCAAAGAGTACAAGTAATGGCTATAGAGCGCATGGCAGGTGGCAAAGAGTACAAATAATAAGTGAACCCAGGCGCGGATCTAAGAATTTCTCGAGAGGGGGATTTTCAAAACAATTTTGAAAACTTATCGAGCTTTTTTTAGGTTGACCAAATTGATTTTCTGAGATCTCCCAGACCATTATAAAGACCCTAATTTGACCAAATTTTCTGCGCCGCAGGCAAATTTATGAAAAATTTATTTTTTTCCCGGCTTTTTCATCCTTATATTTCGCCCCTAAAATCTCACACAGAGTTTCCTATTGAATTGTTGTTGGGTGCGTGGAAGAAAACGTGTTAATTATTTTAAGAGTAGTGAAACTTGCAAGATTTATTTTTTGCATCCTCCTATTCAAAAAAAAAAACTTGCGAATGGGCAAAAAAGCCGGGTCAAAAACAAAATGTACTTTTTTCATTAGAAATACTACAAAAGTTGATAGAAAAGAGAAACAAGACTGCTCGTATCAGGGCGAAGCCCTGAATGTTCCGACTGCCTTTTAAGGTTTATGGAGCAGTAATAACATTTAAAAATTCAATGAAATAAAAACAAAATCAAAAAAAAAATTTGAAATTTTTTATGAAAATCATCCCCCCACACGCCATAGAAAGTACATAAGGATAGATTTCGCTCCTTGTAACAAACCAATTATGGCACATAAGCTTCTTTCAATCAATTTGGAACGATTTCTAAGAAGGCTTATATCTCCGCTTACGCGTTAATAGCGCGAAATATATCGCGCTTTAATTGTCTCAAATTGGCCAAAATGGCAATCTTTAAACCACCATAACTCTACGCAAACTGATCACAGGTAAAATATCTTTTCAAATTTAAGCTCAGGACAACAATATTTTTTGAATGATATAAAAAAAGTTCCGTCAGAAACGGTTAGTTAAAAAGTCGAAATTTCACCCCTAGCACAAATATTCTGGTACTTTCGTTACGAAGGTCGGAACAATTACAATACGCGTAGCTCGAGTAAACAACATCAGAAAGTTCACATTCAACAAATTATGGCTCTCTCCGAAATTTTGCATTTATGCCATGACTCGTTGAAGAGAAAATGGATGTCTTCATATTTAGCTTGAAGTGTGGTTGTATTTCTTAAGATAAAATTGAGAGCCTGATACTTTCCAGGAACCAACATGAGCGAGAGATTGAAGACAAGCAGTTCAGTCAAAGATCCCAATCACGGGTAAGAGCTTCTTAAGAATTTCAATTCAGATAGAAAACATTGTTTCCTCTGCTAGATGAAATATTCATTTAGATTATTTAGATTTGAACGTTCAAATCTCGTACCTAATTCAAACCGGTGTTATGAGACATAAATAATTCAACAACAAGGATGAAAATACGTTGAAATGCACTTTTTAAATATTCTTTCAGTTTCCTTCAAGAGCTTTAATAGTGAAACTAACGACCCGTGAAATCTTTTGATGAAAGGCTCTCGAATCCAAAAATTAACAGCCGAGATGTCATTTATAACAATGGTTACCAACAAGATGCAAAATGGATAGAAAAAAATAATAATATTTTCCTCACAATTACTTGAATTCTGTAAACCTCGACTAAATTATGGATATTACCAACGAGGTTTTTCTTACGCAGGAAGAGAACGCTTCTTCACTCGGCGAACACCAGGATGAAAAAGAGAAAGACGACGTTAACAAAAAAGGCATCTTTTCCAGTTTCCCACTCTTTGCAACATTTCCAAAAGCCACCTAGGATAGCCTGTTGCTGAGCAATTAGCAGAGAATGTTCCGACAAATAGATTTTTCAAAAAATCAGTAATAAGAATCGAAAGCTATTTTTGGCCATTTTTGTTGTCTAAATTTCCTGTTATTTTTTCTAGAAAATGCAGTTGGATTAGGTATAAAAAGCAAGAAGATAGGTTTCCATAGTTTAAAAAAATTTTAAACTATAGCGTTAAAATTCCAGTAGATTTCAAAGTGGAAGATCAGCCTCTCGCCAAATTTCGTCTAATAAGTCTGAAAACCGTAAACATTCAGAGCAGTTTTTCTAGACATTGAAACGAAATTTTCGAATTTTTTAGAATCCGAATTACGACTGTTGCGGTTTTAATTTGATGCTAACTAACTCCCTACGAGTTTTCCTTGAAGTAGTCTAAATTGGCTGAGAAAATCTAGAAACGGACCCCCCTGATCTATAGTTCCTTTCCACTATTCGTGAATGGTTGGTCGCAACAATTACTTTTCAAACAGACGTAGAAGCTATTTACTTCTGGCAAATATTATACAAACAGGGCCAAAACAAATTATTGCGAAAAAATCAATTTGCATGTAACTTGTCTCGAGATTTTCAAAAATGGGCGGGGAAACTTGAATGGGTGTGGAATACAGGAATTGTGGGTCGGAAGCCGAAAGAGACGGCGACGACTGAAGTGTTGCGAGCACGCGCGGAGGAGTACAGACTGAATGGGGAGATAAAGCAGTTCAGAGTTGGACACCAGAACAGGCTGAAGCACATCGAGAAAATGAAAGACACCCTGCAGCAACACAAGCACCAGGTACCAAATCAACCCATAGATCAATGTCTCCATTCTCCACTTGAACTTTCATTTCAACTGAACAGAAATTTCAACTGCATTTGAGAAACTATCATTTTTTGAACAGCACCTCTAATGAAAACGAACATTACTCCATGAATGACCCGATGTTGATGAATGGCATGACGTCATAGATACAATTGTGGTTCCCCCAAAGGGGTGCTTCAAACGCAATTATAGACAAGGGGAAAACCGAAAACAAATAGTAGATAAATTTACAATCGCTCTTCAACTCTTTGGGGCTTTCCCGCAGAAAAATTCTGTTCACAATAGTTAGTTTGTTCACCATGCCAATTTTCAATCCATTATAACAACGTAGAAATAGTTTTTCAAACCTCGAATGTGGCGAAACGTGGAAGAAAGCCTAGGTCGTTTGAGGCCAAGTAATTTCAAAGCCGAGGGGCAGTTATCGAGAAAGCAAGTTATAATCTATATTTTTTGGTGAACACAGCTGAAGCAGCGCATAGACGACAACGGCAAATTCATTTCGGAGCAGTTCAACAAGCAGTTGAGGGCGGAGGCCAAGTACAAAGAGGAGCACAGGGCTGTCCAGACTCTGGAACAAGAGCTGGCCCAACTGGAACAACAGGCACACCACCTCAATATCAGGTCCCATCCTCCTCTCTCTTTCTCTGAATAAGTGCAGCAGAGTTTCGAGCCCCAATATGGTCCTTGTTTCTTGCTTAAGGATGTGGCAATAACTATTAAATAACAAAACACTAACACCGGCGTTAAGAGCCTACAACTACTCAAAGTGGAACAGTTCGTAAGTTGGTTCTTTTCCTCGTGGATATACGGTCAGATAATTTGTCTCAACACTTGAACTGTGTTTAAAATCCTAAGGACGTTCAAACGAGAATTAGCAAGCGCATTTCAAAACAAATTTTTTGATTTCACATTAATAAAAAAAACCAACAGTGGATCCATCTGATTTCAACTAAAATTGATGGTTTGAACAGGTTCGCATAAAATATGAAATTTCAAAGCAAGCTCATAAAGCAATGTAAATTTGGACATACCAAGCTGTGTTATAAATTGCAAAGGTTTACAAAAAGCGAAATTTATTGAAACAAACTAGCACGCCAAAAAAAATGAACTTTTTGAAGGTGTTTTGATTCCTTGAATTCCTTTGCAAAAAGAAAACTTATTTTCTCAAGTCGGCTAATCAAGCGACAAAACGTCGGCCTGCTTGAACTCAGAAACTACTGAAGCAAGCTTTTAAGTTATTTGCTCACCTGAATGGACTTTGAAAAAATTTGCAGGCAAGAAAAACCGAAATATTTCGTTCAGTATGCTATCAAGCTAAAATTCGACAATTAACTAAGTTGGCTAAACATTTGCAATTCTTGAAGCAAATTTTTGAAATTTTCTGTAAAGCAAGCCAATCAAAATTAGTGGACAGTTGGAACGATTCGATTTGTTTTGATGGCTCTCATTGAATCGGAAGATGTTGAGGTTTTGAAGCAAACTATTCAAGCGATGAGTTTGAACCAATTCAGTAAGTTATGACAAATGCAATTAATTTTCGTTGAAGGTTAAAGCAAGCATTTCCGCCATGAAAATATTGGACAATTGCTAAAATTTTTGAATTTTTGCAAGCTACTCAAGAAATTGAAAAATGAAACAATTTAACTTAATACAAGAATTGAATAATTAATGTCAACTACTTGCAACTGAGACACATTTCGCCATGTTCAAGCTGCTTCGCCAAATTAAAAGTATCTTCTAAGTTTTCGCTATTACTGAACAGGCTCAGCAGAATTGATCCGGTCGTATTAAGTTAGCATGTATCAAAAGCAAGTTTAACGGAGCAGCAGAATGGGTATTTACCCATCTCTTCTCAAAAGATGTATCTTTAGAAACATGCAATATATTTTTAAAGCTAGTGATTCGTTTAGCTTTATGACCTATAAATGTGCTATTCAATTTGACTTGATGGGTCCCAAAAAACATCTCACATGAAAAAAAACTTTTAAAAAAGGATCGAACTTCAAACCATTCGCAGTTGTTTTATTAGCTTAAATTAGTTCGGAAAACGTGGCAAAAAAACTTCAAGCAACATCTCAACCAAAAAAGGGTTGAAACATTACTTGAAGCGTGATAGAGTGGGCCCCTGTTAGGCAGGTATGCGAGTGCAGTCTTGCTCATCGCTATACAGAGCATTTAAATGTAATTCAGTAAATCATTAGACATCGCTCGATCATTTTCTTCATTTGCTCTAACTTAACTGATAGCTCAATTGATATCAACAAATACAATAACAGATTTCTTTCTTGGAGACCTGCGCATTTATAGAGAACCCTTTATCCAAGATATAAGCCCTTTCCCGCTTAGTAACAAAAAAACTCTACACCGACATGCTGTGTTTGTTATATCAGGAGGTTTATATTGATCTGGGGGCTTAATTTAAAAAAACTACAATGGCTTTAACCATAATCAAAATATTGCAACTGAGACACATTTCGCCATGTTCAAGCTGCTTCGCCAAAATAAAATGATCTTCTAAGTTTTCGCTATTACTGAACAGGCTCAGCAGAATTGATCCGGTCGTATTAAGTTAGCATGTATCAAAAGCAAGTTTAACGGAGCAGCAGAATGGGTATTTAACCATCTCTTCTCAAAAGATGTATCTTTAGAAACATGCAATATATTTTTAAAGCTAGTGATTCGTTTATCTTTATGACCTATAAATGTGCTATTCAATTTGACTTGATGGGTCCCAAAAAACATCTCACATGAAAAAAAACTTTTAAAAAAGGATCGAACTTCAAACCATTCGCAGTTGTTTTATTAGCTTAAATTAGTTCGGAAAACGTGGCAAAAAAACTTCAAGCAACATCTCAACCAAAAAAGGGTTGAAACATTTCTTGAAGCGTGATAGAGTGGGCCCCTGTTAGGCAGGTATGCGAGTGCAGTCTTGCTCATCGCTATACAGAGCATTTAAATGTAATTCAGTAAATCATTAGACATCGCTCGATCATTTTCTTCATTTGCTCTAACTTAACTGATAGCTCAATTGATATCAACAAATACAATAACAGATTTCTTTCTTGGAGACCTGCGCATTTATAGAGAACCCTTTATCCAAGATATAAGCCCTTTCCCGCTTAGTAACAAAAAAACTCTACACCGACATGCTGTGTTTGTTATATCAGGAGGTTTATATTGATCTGGGGGCTTAATTTAAAAAAACTACAATGGCTTTAACCATAATCAAAATATTGCAACTGAGACACATTTCGCCATGTTCAAGCTGCTTCGCCAAATTAAAAGTATCTTCTAAGTTTTCGCTATTACTGAACAGGCTCAGCAGAATTGATCCGGTCGTATTAAGTTAGCATGTATCAAAAGCAAGTTTAACGGAGCAGCAGAATGGGTATTTACCCATCTCTTCTCAAAAGATGTATCTTTAGAAACATGCAATATATTTTTAAAGCTAGTGATTCGTTTATCTTTATGACCTATAAATGTGCTATTCAATTTGACTTGATGGGTCCCAAAAAACATCTCACATGAAAAAAAACTTTTAAAAAAGGATCGAACTTCAAACCATTCGCAGTTGTTTTATTAGCTTAAATTAGTTCGGAAAACGTGGCAAAAAAACTTCAAGCAACATCTCAACCAAAAAAGGGTTGAAACATTTCTTGAAGCGTGATAGAGTGGGCCCCTGTTAGGCAGGTATGCGAGTGCAGTCTTGCTCATCGCTATACAGAGCATTTAAATGTAATTCAGTAAATCATTAGACATCGCTCGATCATTTTCTTCATTTGCTCTAACTTAACTGATAGCTCAATTGATATCAACAAATACAATAACAGATTTCTTTCTTGGAGACCTGCGCATTTATAGAGAACCCTTTATCCAAGATATAAGCCCTTTCCCGCTTAGTAACAAAAAAACTCTACACCGACATGCTGTGTTTGTTATATCAGGAGGTTTATATTGATCTGGGGGCTTAATTTAAAAAAACTACAATGGCTTTAACCATAATCAAAATATTAAGTTCAGAATTATCCTGCTTTGCCTTACACTTCCCTGCCTTGCCCTTTCTTCCGCTGCACTGCCGTGCTTTGAGTTGCCCTGCCTTGCCGTGACCTCCCTTGCTTTGCGCTGTTCTACCATGCTTTTACTTACACTGCCTTGCCCCGTTTTCCACTGCCCTGCGCTACCTTGCTTTACCGTGTCTCGTCTTGAGCTTCGCTGCCTTGCCTCGAGTTACCGTGACTTCCACTGCCCTGCCTTACCTTGCGCTGCTCTGCCTTGCTTTGCGCTGCCATGCTTCTAGGCTTGCACCTCTTTCCACAGCCCTGCCTTGCCTTACGCAACCGTATTTTGTTTGCGCTGCCCAGCCAATACTTCTCCATACCCTGCGTCGCTTTGCCCTATCGTGACTTACGCTGCCTGACTACCCCCATCCTTGCCTAACGCTGTTCTCTCTCTAGTTGCCTTACGCTGCCCGATCTTACCTTGCGCTGCCGCCCTGTCTTACATTGCGCTGCCCTACTTCTCCTTGCCTTGCGCTCAAAATTTCAAGACAATCTGTCTGCACATTTGACCTTGACTTTTCCAAGCTCACTTTATCTTGAACTTCAAACGTGTTGACAATCGATTTCTTAAACGTTACGAGCGGTGAGCTGTTAAACATGGCGCCTCTACCAATTGAAAACTACTTTCATCAAACCAAGATGACCTTGAGTTCTAATTAAGCTTTTGAAAGCACCGAAAATAATACTTTCAATGGCCGCTGTCAGTTGACATTACATGATAACAGCTGTAAAAAAAATTTCAACTTTTCTATACTCAGCTTTTTTGACTTGTTTCCAGTTGTTCTTGTAACAAACATATTTTCCGCCCTAAAACGTGTAGCCGTGTTCTTAACAGACTGCAACTGGTGTCAAAAGAAATCGAGAACGGAGAAGCATACCGCACGCTACTGCTGCAATCTGCGAAAATAGCCGCGTCATCAGGTTAATTTTATTTCACACATGTTCATAACGTCTGAAAAACCCAATCGCTCAAGGTTATCTTGGTTTAGACAGAGGACCAGGGCTCACGTCAGAGCTCGATATCACGAATCTCATTCAGAAACATCAGACCCTTCAGGTAATTTATCACATACATTAACCCTTTGAGAGGAAGAAAGCTCATGAACAATTTCTGTTTTGAAACAGATGACCATTTTTTATTTAGAACACCAACAACACTTTGAAACAGACTCTCAAATCGAAAATCCAAGAGGTATGTTTTCAACAGATTTCGAATGCGCAAGAGCTTGCCTACATTTATTTACATCGGGTTACAAAATCGTTTAATTTCAACTTCCACCAATTTTGAAACACATCCGGACATCTTTGCTCAATCCTAAATCAGTTAACATAGCCAACTTACAGTTGGAAAAGAGTAATGAACGCAAAATAAACAGAAAAAAAACATACTTTTAATAGATGGCTTTAAAGCTCTTTGAGTTTCTAGAATAATTTATGATAGGCTTTTTTGATATAATGAACTCAATTTGAGAAAACCGGATCAATAAGTAAAAGTTTTATTCCGCTGGGAAACCTAAAAATGTAATTTCACTTTCTAAACTAGAAGTCCATCACGTTTCTTGCCATTTCCACGTTCGTATCTGGAAAGCGCAATTTGACTGTCTTGTAGTATATATTGAACTCAAAAGCGCACATATACCTCATTAGTGTATTATCTTGATATTCTTCATGAAATTTGGTTTTTACAATTTGGCAATTTTTACTTTTTCAAACAGATACTATTGAAAAGTAGTGCTCGAAACATATCGTGCTTGATACAGGCACCGGTTTCAAATTTTATCGAAGTACTACGATGTCCAAAAATCTCAAAAATTGGTGACTGTTTACAGCTCGACCAAATTAGTTTTCCGAGCTCTCCAAAAAGAAAAAACGCTATCAAAACTTTATTTTGCCAAAAATCTCTTCGCGACGTGCGAATTTTGCATTCATCCCTCAAATTTTGTGTATATTGGCGCCGTACAAAAAACATAAGGCCTGAACTACTTCCTTATAAAATAGTACCAAGGGGGATTTGGGCGGTGGGAGGAGGGGGCGTATGAGCCCATAAATGGAGAAGCGATTGGATGAAGGAAGCGGGGGGTCGTTAGTTAGCCTGTGAGAGTTGATGTGACTTGATTTGTGAGGTGGAAAGAGTTCAGAAGCTGACAGAGGAGGTGAACAGTGGCCACGAGATAGACAGACTGAACGACATGCTCCAGCTGGACACTCTGCAGACGAAGCTGGAGAACACGAAGAACAAAAACCACAGCTACGAGCAGACCATCTTCTTCTCCAGCGAGAAACACCGACAGGAGGTCAGTTCACTACACTCACGAACCAATCAATTTGAACCCCAAATATCCATAACCTAAAATCCATACAACACTCGGTAACTTTATTTCTAGACTAAAGAGAGAGATAGAGAGAGTCAGGTCAAAATTGAAAAATATTCAAGTAATTTCGAATAAACTTTGGATCATTTTAAAAAATACATTAGCCACAATTCAAACAGTTCGAACTCTTACACTTGAACTCATTTGCACCAAAATTGCTCAAATGTAACGATAATTGCGATGCTACGTTTTTCCAAACTAATTGCAAAAAACCAAGAAAAAAATTCACCAAAAACATGTAGCCTCAAAGACCTGACTTCTATTTGAAAATCTTCATCGATACTAACAGAGATTTCTGAGCACACACAAACCGAAAACCTAAGAGATTATATTTTATGTGCTCAAAATTTAATTGACAGATAAATTAGAAAACACTGATTGATGTGAGATATTAAAAAAAAGACAGGAAAAGAGTCAGTGGGCACAAGTAAACAAAAAATTACTATTTCTTTTCTTTTGAAAATTTAACTTTTGAAAAAAAGCATATGGCTTAAAAACTCTTTTAAGTTCAAGAACAAAATATGATTGAAAATGATTTCATAGAAATAAACCAATTAAAAAAAATTGGATCAATGAAAACTAATTTATGATTTCGTTGGGAATCTGAAAACTAATGCCTTTTTCGAAATTAGAAATAGATCTCGTTATCCTGACCTTTACACTTTGCTGTTCGATAGTGGTTTGCTTTCCTTTTACAAATTGAAATGAACTGAACTTGAAAGAAACTAAGTCAGACGGCAAAAAAACCATTTTCTTGAAAAAAACTACGGATTTTTTCTAATAAAAAACCGACAAAATTTCTTTGATAGGCTGAACTAAGAGTCGATCACATTTTTCGCGACCTTTACAATTTCGCTGTTCGATAGTCTAAACAATCATCGGGGAGAGGATGAAAAGTAAGAAACTCGGAAAAACTTCAATGCACACTCAAGTAATTCCAACTCCTACCTAAGTGAAAACACTTTCGGGCCTCTCTACAAGAAAGAGCACTTCAAATCCTTTGATGATAAGCTAAAAAAAGAGTATTTATGTTTCAACTGTTTAAAAAACCCAAAAAAGTTCTGCTTAGCTGAACTAACAGTTGTGGTAAATACCGTCAAACGCTTCTTCACGATCCATCTGCTGGTCTAGCTAAAACCGAAAAAAAGCTGCTGTTCATCGAAAAGTTGGATGTCAAAGATCAGGTCAAGCAGCTTTATTGCCGATCGAACTGTCATATGGTGTCAAAACTATCTCTATATATGCTTTTCTCGTCAACGATAGCTCCGTCACACTCCAACTGGATTCAGTTGCAACTTAACTTGGTTTGAACACAAACCTACTTCCAGTTACTGGATGTCACGAGAACAAAACGGTTCAAGTTGCCTCTGTCGAAGTTCACATAAGACCTTATAAAGCTAAATACAACCCGATTCTACTTGAGGATGTCTTAATCGTCCCCGATTTAAACTTATCCCCAGCGAATATTACTCAACTCAACGCTATGTGTAGCAAATATCATCACTTTAAACATTTGAAGTTCCCCAACTTTAACAACGATCATAATCGGTAACAACAACCCCGAGTTTTTGGAACGGGAAAACAAAGTTAACGTACCACAAAACGTTCCGTGGGCAATAAAAATGCTACATGGATGGACCCGATCTAGTCACAACAAAACCCGAATTCAACAAAACCGAATTCAACTGATTTTGCGCAACAAGACCGAGTGCCAACTAATCCCTTGAACTTCACTCAAGTTCATTTGCAAACTCAATAACATAAAGGCTAGAGGCCAGCTAAAGCTGGAAACACTTGTTTGATACTTTTTGTAGTGATGCGGAAGGAAAAGGGTTTTTTCAAAAACTGAGCTTCATCCAAAACCTTAGTTAGTTTTCCTTTAAAATAACTAGGAGTGAAATTTTTTGAGTACGATTTGACAGGATGTTCTTCGAGAAAATCAATGAATTTCAATTAACGGTCAAAAATTCAAAACCTGTTTTTTTCCCGAAACTTAGAATTTAAAACTCATCAAAAATCTTGCCGTTAAGAGACAGGTGGCAACAGAAAAAAGTGGTGAAGGCAAAACAAAACCATGCAAAGAATTAATTGTAAGATTAACATTAACGAAAGCATTTTAATTTTTCACCCCATCAAACAAAGCACAAAACAAACGGAAGTAATGGAGCGTGTGAAAAATCCAGCCACATGGCGGCTTATGCCGGGGACTTCCCAAAACTAGTTCTACCCATTCAGACCAAAATCTCAGATAGTTAGTTTTCGAGAAATGGGTAGATTTCGAGAATGGGTAGTTTTCGAGAAAAGTAAAAAAAAAATCAAAAAACTGTTAATAACTCAAAATTTACAATTTACGAGTCATAACTTGTTGTGTAAGAACATTTGCCGCAACTGCTGATGCAGGGGAACTTCTTATAACCCTTTCTACACATTAAAACCAAATTCCCAGATTTGGGCGGCTGTTTTCGAGAAAAGTCAAAAAGTTACAAGAACGGTCAAAAGATCGAAAAATTGACTTTTCTCTGAGTCATTTTTTATACGAAAAAACTGGGCGTAGTCGCTTATGCGGAGGAGCTTCCCACTACTTGTTCTATCCATTGAACCAAAATCTCAGACTTGGGAGGGTAGTTTTCTAGAAAATGTAAAAAAAAATTTGTCAAAAGTCCCCCCACAATTTTTCGAAGGCTGTAGAAAGTGAGATAAGGTAAAAAGCGGCTAGCAGATTATGCAAGAACACAATGGAATGGGCAGAATTCCCACTGGTACCACTTTTTGGAAAGCGGCAAAGTAATTTTTGAGAAAAACTAATTTTTTTTTAAAAAAAAAGTGAAGAATTTTTTCATAGCGTCTCAAAAAAATGGCATTAAAAAACCCGATCCTATACATTTTCATAATACCTATATTCATCAAACAGGAATTTATAACGATAAGTTATGGATTAGATGCAAATATATTATACTGGAATTGCTTCTTCGAAACGCTCTCATTCGAAATCAGTCAAACGTGCCATCAAAAGTTTGAAAATATCTCACAAATTGGTGAACGTTCCATATCAAAAATGATTTACTTCGAAAATAAAACGCAACAGTTCCAATTAACCGCTGGATAGCAAAAAAATCAAGTCAAATATTGAGTAGTTCGGCTAAAAAAAACCTGAAATGAGGGGGAAAAAATCGGGTAATAGTCATGACATCTTAGAAAAAAGGCAATGTCACAAAAGCACACATTTTTTATCGATTCACCCATAAACTCATAGTTTCATCGAATTCACTCCTCAACGCAAACTTAATCATAGCTCACGATCTTTTATGCATTTTGTTTGGCCTTACTTTTTGCTTCCGACAGAACAAAGTAGCTAAATCTGCTGACATAGACGCCATGTTTATGCAAGTTTTAGTAAACCCCGAGGACAGACCTTATGTCCAGTACCTCGTAAGGAAAACAGCCAAACAGATTCTTGAATAAACAAGACATAATTGGCGCTACAGACTCATCCTGTTTATCTTGTTATGCCGCTCTAAGTGTGCAATAGACAATCAAACTGGAATTCTGTCTGCGAAAATATCAATTGGAACAAATACATGGAAGACTTATAGCTCAGCTGCTGCTGACAAAGCCTTCGAAGAGATGAAGCAACTTAAAGATTCCTTGTCTCAAGGTGGGTTCAACTCGAACAAGAGGAACTCCACCAACACAGCCTTTCTATTTTCTCCACACATTCTTGTAACGCTGAATGGTCCTATACCTCTGCTAGAAAGTCAATCTAGGCTTTTTGCTTCATTTTGTTCGAGTGTTACTTGACTCTTTATTTTCTCGAGCTTTATCATAGCTCATCGCTTTGATTCGAGCCTTTTTAGATTCTTGATGTTTCTGGAGCTTAATTATCGCTCATCGCTTACTTCGAGCCTCTGTGGGTTCGTGGCTTTTTCCGAGCTTTACCAAGTTCATTGCTTGATTCGAGCACCTCTGGGATCTTGACTTTTTCCAAAATTTACCAAACTCATCGGTTACTTCGAGCCTTTAAAGGTTCTTGGCTTTTGCCGAGCGTTACCTAATTCATCGCTTGCTTCCAGCCTCTCTGGGTTCTTGGCTTTATGCTAATTTTACCCAACTCATCGCTTACTTCGAGCCTCTATGGGTTCCTAGATTTTTCCGAGCTTTACCAAGCTCATCGCTTGCTTCGAGCCTCTCTGGGTTTTTGGCTTCTCTCGACTTATTTTCTATATTCCAATTTACCCAGAACATACAGACAATCTCCACAACCTGGTTAACCTCAGTTATACATCGTTCTCGCAGATTGGGTATGAGAATAGGTACGGTTAACCTTTGATCATTTTCGGTAAAAATCTCCTGTTCAGTTTAACGAGCTTTGGTATAAGCTCCGTAGAATGGTTGGCACATGTACATTTGAAAATTTTCCTGTAAATCGGAATTTGGTATAAGTTTAGTTTGGTAGGTGTTGGTCACTTCACTTCGATTCGAAATGCTTCCAGCAAGCTGAACTCGCCAACAAACTGCTTTCTCCAATTCATTGAGTGAAACGGCTTTGTAGGAAGATAAGGTAAATCAAAACATTCAACAGACGAGACTCGAAAACTGTTTTCCCTCACACGTCACTATGAAATAGAGAGCAAGAGTTTGTAAATTGAAAAATTGTAGTCGGCGTGGTCTACAAGTATTCTACAAACGCCGTCTCAGGTTCGAATCCCTCTCGGAGAAAGGGGCGGTTTGCTGTATTGAGCGTGGATAAATTATTTGATGATTCTGTCAACTTTCTGATCACAGCTCAGCGTCTTGATTTTCGTTTTTCGAATTAACCGACAAGGATTTGTCCAGCTGTTTTGGTTTTGCCGTTGTTTAAGCAGAGACAGTTATATGAAGACGCTCACTAGTGATATTGCAGTGTTACCTTCTTCGGCTTGTGAGTGAATGGTAAAAATTAACAACAGATGCAAAACTTTTCTGCCATTTAAAAACGAACCCGCTTTTCTAACTTTTGAGAGCTTCAACTGCAAAGGTATAGAATATTCCGGCATTTGAGCTACCAACAAACACTATCTGAGATCGAAAGAAGCTAAAGGGCTGGCCTAGACTCAAATGTTCTACCGCAATTTATAGACCTATCTCAGCTAATTCAACTAAAACCAAGATCCATTAAGCTTAATTAAATAAAATATTTCATGATAAGATTGAGAAAATTTAAAATGATATGACTGAGATTTAAAGCAATTGTATTCAAATATAAATCTGTGCAGCGTTTTTAACATATATTAAGATAAGATAGATATAAAATTATATTATTTCTTTGAATTTCCAAAACTGAAATACTGATTGATAATTTATTTTACCGAATTAATTTAACTTGAAATAGTCTTTTCGACAAGAATTATCAATTTAAACTATCCATTGTGTTTACTAGGATTATCTAGGCAGCCTTCATTTACTAAGACGAACAGTAAATAAAAAACATAGCCAACAGACAGTTGGAAAAGATTCAATGAACGCAAGTAAACAGAAAAAAAATGAATCATTTATTGAAAATATCCCAAGTTTCGAATTTTGAAAAAATGCTCTTTGAATTTTTAGAACAATTTATTATTGATACTTTTTTGATTAAACAAACCCAACTTGAGAAAACTGGATCAATAGGTAAGACTTTTACAAAAAAACTACGTTTATCGGCTCTTAATTAGGTATAAAATAGTTGATAGCAATTAGACTTTTGTAAGCATTTCAAGCACTGGGGTCATGTACCACCCCACTGAATAGCACAATGCCAGTTGAAGGCTGATGCATGAAGTACACATAAGGAGATGTCACATGGAATCTGGTCGGTTCCTCGGTCCGCATCATGGCACATCGCATCATCATCACCACCGTGGCAGCTGCTGCCTCCGTCCCTTCTTCGTCTATATCCACAAAGCACTTCTGCAAGATAGCACTGACCATTGTCGCTTCGTTGCCACTAGAACAGCATAATCAATACAGAGGCGAAGCTTCGCTTCGCAAACACTAGCTAGAACGCTACAAAAAGCAGCTCTATAAAGTGCAATAAAAAAGAGGAAATAAGCCTCGAATTAGTAAAACTTCGGCTACGTCATTGATTCCATCTGCGACCTTGAGATTATGAATCTCCCGACCTAACCACAGCCACGGACGCTCAAAAATTCACAAACACTAGCCACAAATAAAGCAGAGAATAGATGCTATGAAATTTTCAATGCTACAGATCGCGATTATAGCAAAAGTGCAACACTTTTCATGAACACTTTTTTTTTATTTTCGAGTCAGGGTAGAAAAAATAATGTTCGTACTAAATACCTTACGCTCGCAAGTTCGCTAGAGTAAAAACGCAAAATAATAGAACAACAGATCTAGTTAAGCAATCTTTCTATGTTGAAAAATTTTTTGCGTGCTAATAAAATGTTTCAAACTATCTTAGAAGATGAGTTGTCAAGAAGTAGCTTCCAGCCGATGAAAACTTTGGATAAAATATAAGACTATTGGGATAGGATTTTTCAGCATTTAAGTGGCTACAAATAACAAAGTGAAAATCAGAAACTCATAGGAACAAATGGGAGGGAGTATTTAAGCGAATCGTAACTTCATAATAACTAGGGATTAGCTTGTTTTTTTCGCCCATTATAAGAAAACAATTATGTTTGTTAACATAAGAAAGCCCTATTGGTCGAGCTACGGAGTGTGAAATTTTTGTCGAGAATATTTGGTCTGGATACTTTCGATTTTCCTCCTATAAAACATAACCATCAGAAAGTTGGAAAAGAGTCAATAAACGAAAACAAACATGAATAGACGAACTTTTTATTTCGCTGGGAAATCTGAAAGTTAAACTCTATTTTCGAAACTAAAGTTAATCACGTTTTTCGCGACTTTAACTTTCGCTGTTGGATGTGGATTTTGCCTTCCTTCTAACGCGGGATATGAACTGAACGTTAAAAAATCGAAGGTCAAACAGCGAAAAAGTACATTTGAACTTGAACAAGTTTTATGACTTTTCACGACCTATATAAGAGACTGAACTACGTTCATCGACTTCTAATCAAACTGTATTTTGAAAAAACTAATTTTAAGTGATTTCAGCGAACATTAGCTCAGTTTTGCATTCTCCAGTTTTTCAACTAATTCAATCACCCTTTGCTTTAAAAAATACCAGAATTTAGCCACAGAGGCGAATCTACACTTCCCAAAAAAGCGAGAAAATGGCAGCAGTAAAAAGATTTTTGAAATAAAATGAGGAAAGAAAAGATCATTAGTCTTGAAAAATAAAAGTTCTGCTAGGTGCGAAATCCAAAAGCCAACCTCGAGAATTAGAGTCACGTGTCCTCGCATCTGCGCCATGGTAGCTTGAAAACGTCAACTACTAGCCACTGATAAAGCAGATTCGACAAATGCTATTTAAAATTCAATGCTATGCAGCAACAGAGCCACCAAACGAGCACTTTGATTTGCAATTTTTGAGCTTAAAAAACAAATTCGTAACAAGTGTAGCGAGAACAATCTGTGCTACTTTCACAGCAGCTAGTTTTCCTTGTTTTTATTTTTCAAACCATCAGGACTGGCGCCAATCTTTCGAGGCATCAACACAAGTATCATATCGTGAAAGACTCCCGGTGACATTTCTATACTAGGTAGGTTTCGCAAACAAACTGTTACTTTCTATGTAATCATTTAAAGAATCGTTATCATTAAAAAAAAATTGGAACTGGCTGTAGTGTAGAAAAATTAGCATAAAATTTTCAAATAAACTTAGTTACATCAAATTTAACAAAAAAAAGCAAATACTAAAAGCAAATTTCTACTCGTATCAGGGCACGTCCCAAAATTCCCCGCATTCCCTTTCAAATAAATAAAAAAGTATTTCATGAAACAAAATTTCTAATAAATCAAAACTTCATGTTTTTTCCTAAAAAATCTCTCCTACACGCATTTTAAACTGCAAAAACATAGCCTTCGCGCCTCACAATGAATTTTAGAAACCAAACGTTTATTTAGCACATAACTTTGCATTGCTCTTAAAAAGAATTAAAAAGTCAAACAGCCAAAAGCCAGCCGTGACCAATTTTTTGTGAAAAATCATCAGGACCTATATGAGTGTCTTCTTCACGTCCATTAGAACTTAATCTGAAATTGAGATCCGACAAATGCTTTTGTTAAAATAAAACTCTGTTAAAATGACCAGTTCAAAAGCTGTCTTAAGAAAACGTCGACCGCAAACATTCAGCCACTTTCTTCGAAAGTCGTACCAACAATTCATTCACGTTGGTTGATAAACAATTTGGGCTCTTATAACTACATTGAGTACATTCATAAAGCCTCGTTGTACCAAATACTTTCTAAGAATCTATCGAAGTATAACTGAATACGTTAACTGTATTGAACTGACTGTAAACGTGTATTTTTAACATCATTCGGTTCATCATTTGATGTTTAATTTGCTAAGTTCAAAATTTCATTTATGACAACGGAGAATCATTATTATGCTGCAGTTTTTGAGAGAAAACATTGATTTTTTTGATATATTTCCAGGCTCGAAAACTCAGTTCAAACCCCAATTTTTGGTATGTAAAAAGTTAAAAAACCAATAATTGAGTTTGAAACAAGCTAATTTGCTATCTAAAATTATATAGAACAATTTTATGCTCAGATGGCAAAGAGGTAATATTCCGCTAAAAATTTGGAGTTTTTCCTATTTGTATCCCACCAATGCTGTATTTACTTCATAGCTTGGAAAGCGTTTTCGTTTCTAAAAGGCACTGAACTAATAAAAACACCCATAACTTTGATTTTCCATGCGCGATCCCCAAAAAAATATGAATTGTCGAAAATAGTTCTCACAATTATTAAGGAAATTGTATTCATGGACATGTGGCTGGACTCATAGCAAAAGGTCTCGTGTTCGATCCCCAGGGCTATCGTGATTTTGTAAAAGAAAAACAAGATCAGATTAAATGTATCTCTTACCACATGAGTCTAAGAATCATGAATTACCTGATGCCAGAGAAATTGGCTCCCATGGTGAACGCTTCCTTGACTCCCAATGTTTTCAAAATCGGAATTAAATCTATACTCGATTCAATTTTACACTTTGGTAACATCAAATCCAGCAATTGCTCGTTCGCTTTTGACCTCAAGCTTTTCAAACTGTCATGTTGCAAAAACTTCAGGAAGTCTGCGGGGTTGGATCCTTTTTCGGGAAGCAGAATACCCATTTCCCACGCAGAGTTCTTAGACTCGCTCTCATATGGCAAAAATGCCATTGCAAACAGCTCTTCCTTATTTTCCACGTAATCAAATCGAGCTTCTTGTCGCATGAATTTAGCCTTCACCTTTTTTTCTTTGGAAACATCAAAATCTAGTTCATCGGTCTTTGCAGGCTTGAATGGCCTGAGCCATTTCCCCTTCAAGTATACTGCATTGATCAGGGCCAAAACAGTGTCTGGCGTTGTATTTTGAACCAAGTCCTTTATCTTTCCATTCGTTTGCTTTTCAACCCAGTCATTGACAATTTTTTCGCCTTGCTTGCACCCAAATTCCACAGTTTGAACATGAGCGTTGAATTTCGACTTCAGAAGTTGAACAAAATCGGGGACGGGTTCGAAGCATAGCTGCAGGAACAGTCCATTAGCCGTTGTTAAAGTGAACTTTTGATCCGCCGATTTCTTCAGACTTCCGATAATGTTCTCAGCTTCTTTCCCGTCACTACCAGCATCGATACAAAGCGCTTTCTCCAGTTCAGCTTTCGTTTGACCGCCTGCTCCATGTTTTAGCATTGACATACAAACAAAAACACTAATAGGGGAAATTGCTGTGTTGGCATCTTTTGAGTCTTTGATGTAGAGATCGAATAGAGAACTTCCAAATTCACACGCCGTTTTGTAACTCAGTTTCGACATTTTCAAAATATCTGAAGCACGTCAAAATGTTTATTTTGCAAACAGGAAAATTAGATGAGTACAAAAATAAAACAATCGAGGCAAAAAACATTGATTTAACTTCGCAAATTGGTTTCTATTTTTCAATATTTAGGCCCCAATAATTGTGTAATTCCGATTTGAGAGTTATAAAAGCTGATAAATTATTTATATTCTTCTTTCTTTTGTGTCAACTAAAGGTCCTCAATTCTCACCAAATATGCAATAATGAAATAAAAACGAAAAAATGAATCGATCAATATTTGATAAAGAACAAGACTGTTTGTATCAGGGCGCAGCTCGAATGCGCAGCTGCCTTTTTATTCGGACTGGTAAGCCCGTCTTCAAAAATCTATCGGCTCGCGAAAAATATTTGTTGTTCTGATCAAACTATTCAAGCAAGAAGCGGTTTGAAAAATATTCAATTTCAAAGAACAAATCGGTTCGCGAAAAGTTGATGTTTTTCTAAGCAAGTTGATGTTTTTTAACTTAATGCAAGAAGCGATCCGTATGGCGAAAAGTTTAAGTTTTTCAGTAGTAGCCATGTTATTTGTTAGAGCAAATCGGCCTGTGAAAAATCAGGTTTTTCTTAAGTAAGCTATCTAAGCTATGAAACTTTAAAATATTTTGAGTTATTTCAGATTAAAACGTTTCGCGAAAACTTGAAGATTTTCTAAGTGAGCTGTTCAAGCTATCAAATATTGAAATATTTCAAGTTGTTTCACAGAGGGAATCAATTGGCGAAAAAACTATTTTTATAAGCTAGCTATTCAAGCAAGGAAACTTGGAAAAATTTCATAGAGCGAGCTGGTTTGCAAAAAAAAAAACAAATTTTTTCTATGCACGCTATTAAGCAAAAAACATAAAACTTTCCAACTTATTTCATGAAGCGAATCACTCCGCAAAAAATGTGAACTTTTCAAGCAAGCTATTCAAATTGGGAATTCATGAAGTTAAAATTTTTCTATTAGAGAAATCCAACCGATGAAACTTAGAAAAGATTAAACGTTGCGTCCATGGCGCATAAAAACTTTCATTTAAAATATAGGATGAAAAAAAATTGGCAAGTCAACAGAATTCGAATTAGAAAATCTCTGCTAAATTTCAAAATTTCACTGATTAGTGATGAATTTTCAGCTGATAGACAAGGGGAAGATACTTCAGGCTATAGACAATTTATTGGGCAAATGCAGAAGCAGACACTTCAAGCAACTGCACAGCTGCTCCGATGCGGTCGAAATGATATCCTACCCTCAGATGCTAGAACACATTCAGGTGAGACTATTCTTATTTCAACGACACTGTTGGCAACAATACTCGATAGCTTAACAAATTTATAACATCGACATTTTAATATTGACAAAATTTGAAAACATCCTCTAAAAGTATACTTTTTATTCCACTGATATTAAAAATACAATCCACTTAATAAATAGAAAAGGCGCACTTCAAGCTAAAAAAAATAGCCGACAATCTGAGAATTTTTCTTCAAAGCTTTGAATAGAATCGATTTTGGAGTGAACATAATCAAAAAGCAATGATCAGCGTCAGGGGTTCCAAAATTTTGACGACTTTTTTCATGTTTTGAAAAACATACCAAAAAGTGATTTTTTAGGCAATTTTTGGAAAAACTTGACCGAAGAATTGAATATTCGGCGCGCAATTACAAATCAATTGTAGAAGTTTTGTCAAGAGCTCCAACAAATTACTCTAAATCTCGACAAAAGCTATTGCAGATGCAATTTGATCAAAAGATACCTGATCGGTCATAAGCAGACTTCACCAATCTTGGAATAAAAATATTTCAACGAAAACTTTTTTGACGTCGGATCCGTCCGTAAATATCAATTAAACATAGCCTATAAACCGCTTTGAAAAAAGCTACCTCCTGGATTCTAACCTCTGACCTACAGTGTTTAGAGTCAACTTACTGTCTAGTCAAATGCGCAAAATTTGTGATAAACTTTGCCTAATTGTTGTTATAAACTAATTGAATAGAGACATGACTATGAACAATACTGATACCCAAATTATGTCATCAATGGAAAGTCAACCCGAACACCTAAATGAACAAGAGAATGAAACTGTTCCAACTCTCAGATACAGAGATCAAACTCTTCCCAAATCTACAAAACGACCGTTTTTTGCTATGACTCCAACTCCAGATGAATCAATATCAGAAGGTTTTGAAAAACCTTGACAAGGACATTTCAAAAGTAATAGTGAAAATCTAAAGCCCATTGAAAGCGATGTTGAATCTAGAACTGCAAAATCAAGGAAAGTATTCTCGATGAAGCTAAGCAGTTTACTCATCTGGAGACACAAAAACTGCAATTTGAAAGCTGTTTCGGCGACAGACGCGTTGGAACCATTATTTGATGACAAAAAAAAACTCCTTGATGCAGTTCTGAGTGGCAAGAGAGGTCGCTGCTAATGTTTTCTGTGCTAATTGCTCACCGTACTCCAGATTGTTATGCTAACAACCGCCTGATGACAGTACGCTTCTCTATAGCAGTGGCAAAGTTTGATCTTTTGCGAAAAATTAAACGCCAAAAATAACTCTAAATGACTCTAAGTTTACTGGTCGAGATTGATTTTATCATGTGCTAAAAGTTATAAATTAAACAAAAATTGCAGTCATTGCATGCAGTGACTTGAATATCGGTTTTCTTCAGAAGAATAACCTATGATCAAAATATCTTGATTTTATAGAAAAAATAGGTTCTTCAATTGTAAAAACACCGACCAGAAAAAAATCAACTATGTAAACCCTAGTAGACCACTATCTGGTTAAAAAGATATTTTTGTAAAAACCGGGTCACGCAAAAAGACACGAAGGTTTCTCCGTTCGTTTTTCCGATTAATTTAGAAATATATTTGGATCATTTAAGGATCTATTCTAACATTTTTCGAGACACTTTTTGTGACACTTCATTGTGAAGTATTTGATACCTCTGACTACTCAGAATGTGCGAAACAAAGTTCAAAGATTATCAATTGAAACTCCTCGAAGTATTGGATAATTTTGCACCAATAAAAACAGAGCAAAAAATTAAGTGTCCTTAGCTGACAATAAACATAATAATGATGATTGTAAAACAAAACTGACTTTAAAAAGCATGGTCTAAAATCAAATTAGCTTAAGAATCTAGAACACGTTTTCTAAACGCCATGGGCTTTATTGATGAATCACGGCATGTTTACTCACTGCTAAAAAAACGAAAGGGCATAAGGAAATCTCAATGTCAAACACCATCCTTAAAAACAAAACTGAACAGAGAATTATCAACCCCCTCAATAATAAGGCCAATGAATTCAATCGCTGCTTTTTGACATAGGGCAGTAACCGAGCTAGTGAAATTCTATTATCAAAAACATATCAAAGGTATGACGAGCCCAGTTTCTGTATGTTCAACTAGTCTGTTACTGATTTAAAAGAGTCAATTTTGAAGTCAGTTAAATCTTGGTGTTTACCTAGCTTCTCAACTTTATTTTATGCCTCATACTGATTTTGAGCGAACGAAGTTCATAAAACAGTGTGGTATCAGTTCTAAAAAGCAACAATATCTTTCTACATGAGTTCTACTTAAATACTATGACTCGAATATCAAATCAATTTTGCAATACGGAAAACTCTTTTATGATTACATCGTTATTGCCTCTTAGTGGTTCAAAAGAAACAGGCTTAAAAGAAACTACGAAGGCATTCATGAGCTAATATATATTATGAGTTTTTCAAATTTGTTCAGATCTTTCTCAGAACTTCACTCAGAACAATTTTTGAGTAACTTGGACCAATTTGAGATTTCTACATGTGCGACAGGATGAGCTAGGTTGAGAATTTTTAGAATGTCAGATCTCAAAGACAAGACATAAAGAGCATCATCTTTTTACAGGGGGTCTAAACAATTTAATTTAATTCAACAAAACAACCTACAACCCCAATTTTCTCTATTGAAAGTCAGGATGAGCTAGTTTGAGAATTTTCAAAATGTCAGATCTCAAAGACAAGACGTAAAGAGCATCATCTTCTTACAGGGGGGTCTAAACAATTTAATTTAATTCAACAAAACAACCTACAACCCCAATTTTCACTATTGAGAGTCCAGAACCTAGCTCATGATATACGAGACTTGTTCATCTTAGTTTGTCCTAACCCTAATTAAATCTTTTTTTAAATTAAACCTAATTAAATTTGTTTTTCTTATTTTGTAGACCGACACCGATAAATTGTATACAATTATAACATTTTCATAATATGTTCAAAATTACCCCTGGCTTTATGCGACGAGACAGCCATACTTGGAATTGTTCACTGTGAAGTGCTGCATGGCCTCAGTTAATGTCTCCAGACCATTAAGCCTCCAGTCATTTCTATTGGTGTTATGGGGGCTCTAGGCTATGGGAAACCTAGACAGTAACCGCTGAATGAACATGTTCAAATTGTGTAATTAAACCGGCTAATAAATACCACGACTAGCCATTCAACATCCAAAACCGTTTTTATAGCCATAAATTTATCTTTGCTCGAGTAAGACTATACTAATTGCAAATACAAGCCGTAAAAAAGTTCATAACATATGCTGGTAAAGACGATCAGTGCACCAATAGTGAAAATAAGGTTTTTTTGCTGAGCACTAATTTATGCGAGTTATGTTGCGAAAAATTAAATTCGCATTAGAAATTCGTAAAAGCATTTGCTTGAGTAAAAATACTAACCAAATTGAAGAATTTCCTGCCCTTTCATCAAATGAGCTTGAAAGCGAGCGGAAAAAAAAACACAAAACATACTAAACGCGCGTAAAATCCTATTTACGAAATCTCATGAAAAATTCACACACCTAAAATTGAGCCGATAGAAAATATTCACAACACGGTACTTTTATACGATATAAAAAACTCAAGATAAAATTTTAGTTTTATTTTATACTTTCATCATTCAAACCATTACCAATTGAAATGCTTCAGTCAAACTCGTGCACCGAGAAACCATTGTTAGTTTCCAAGAAGACTATTGAGCTAATGTAAGACTCCAATCGAAAAATTACCCCCGCGAAAATTTGCAACAAGAGGGTTCGACCAGATAAAAGATTAAGCCGAACAGAATCACCTCAAAGCTCACCAGTTTGGTTGCTATCAAAAATTGAACGTATTTTTAAAACCTTGAAAATTACATCTTCTAAGCTTCCTGATGAACACCTAGAAAGTAAAAAACAAGAAACAAAAAATATCGGCTTAAATCGCAGTGTGGGGTTGGGGGCTATAGTTTCTAAAGGACTGGGGTGCAATAATGGTAAAAAGCCGAAACATCACTAAGCGCTTTCACTACTCCAACTTTCAATAGCACTAAAATTAAATCAAATAAGGAGCAAATTAGAAAGAGAGACAATTTGATTCAGAGTTGAATGTGTCAATTATTTTGCAGGAATTCATCCTTCACGAGTATGACGTCATCCACAAATCACGTGCCCTCATTGATCAATACTCTGACTTCGGCAGCAGACGCAGCAAACGCAAATCAGTGGCCACTTTACAGACCCAACAACAACAAGAATAATCACAAAATTACGAACTTCAAAAACTGAAAATTTGAAGTTCATGTCGAGCTTCAAACTTTTCAGCTCTTTGAAGCTTTCCCCCATGGTTCAGTGAAACTGGGCTGAAAAATCTTTCTCAATTCCTTTTTATTTAACTCCTTTTCAATTTCCTTTTTTAAACCGCTCTGAACCCCCACCCCATTTTCTATTTTGTACTGTTACAACTTTTCAACACATCTGATCGTTACAAAAATTAGCATTTGAACTGATTTGGCAGTTCTTATAATTTTTGCTAGACATCCAAGAACACTTTGTTGAATTTGATGCTTATGCGAGGCAGGGAAAAGGAAAAAGAGGCAACATCGCCAACTTGAAGCGGTGAACAGGTATAGCGACAACTCGCAACAAAAGAAAACTCGTAAAATTTAAGGCAAACGACAATTCGCAAACTCTGAAATTTAATTTATAACACAAGTATTTTGGTTTAAATCGCCGGTAGGCGCGCCACACGTCAATAACGGGCGCTAAATGTCGTATTAAGTCCAACCCTCTGTTGACGAGCTCGCAACACATTGGCGCGGCATCGGCGGTAAGCATATTGCGAGTTGTCTTTTAATGCTAATTGTCGTATTACGGAATTGGGTTATAATGATCCTAAATATGGAGGAAAAATAGACCATTGTATTTTGCTATCTGTTTTCGAAAATGTACATTTCGTAAATTTGATGTAGAATTGAAGATAACGTTGTTTCTATTGAAAACACTGATGGTTAAATTCACCAGAGAAACAGGAAAAAAAAGTTGGTTCAATATATCATATGTTTGAATTGGAAAGAAATAATCATGGGCATCAATATAAACCATAACTAATTGAATTTTGACAAAATGCTGATTGTAGTATAGGATCTATTTCTTCATCTGGCGAGTATTTTTTTCTGTTCTTCGTTTTACACCCTTTTAGGGTAGCCCAGAGTCCACAAGCAATTATGCTGAAATAAAGAACAATTCCATCACTTCATTTATAAATAGTTTATTAACTTATTCAGAGATATTTAATTCGGACAAAAATCTATCAAACAATTTCAGTCCGCAATTTGGACGGTTTTGCGCTATGATTCGATTCAATTCCTGGAAGCTAAGATCTCAGCGGATTAAATGACATTTCTACAAGACCATTTAAGAAAAATGTCCACTAACGGAACTGGTAAATATTTGCTAGGCAAGTTACAAACTCCAAGTTCGTTTATACTTTTCTTTGAAATTCAGCTTTTACATTTAGTTGAAATTCATTACGCAATTGACATTCTAAATATACTGATTTATTTCCAAGTAGATCTCCTTGCCCTTCAGCAAGAAAATAGCTCCATAATGGGTCCAGACTAAAGCGAAAATCAACTAAAATGTGAAAATTAAACCTTGAATGTGTTCGAAGTAAAGCTAGAACCGACAAATACATGAAAATGTAACTATCTGTGAATTGATTTCAAGTTGGTATTAGAGTTGAGGAACAGTTATGCGACACTTACAATCAACAGAGCAGATGTTTTCACAAAGCTGCAATAAAATCAGTCCCCAATTATTATCATAACACCAATAAGTTAGTTGTTTTGGTCCCCTAAAATTTATGCATTTTCAGACGGCATATTAATAAAACTTGCATTTTAATAAAACTCATCTTTGCACATTATAACGCCACATTCGGTCAAGTTCAAATGAGTGCCTTCATATTGAGCAGATCTTATTGGCCATTGAAATAGGAAAGTTGTTTTCTTTATGTTAACTCAAATGGCAAGATGGCATACATTGAGCTTGGTTGTAGGGACTTACGGCTGACTTGTTTCAGAAGTTTCTTAGCTTTCTTGGCGCCTGACTTTTTGGAAGGAGGAGGCACCACTGCCATTGGTGATATGTTGTGTACTTTCATGGCTTCTATTTCTAGAACATTCTTGTTGCTACAAACTTTTGCAAACACATTTACAAAAGATCTTCTTCAATTAAATTCGAAAGGAATTTGCCAATCCAAAATCTTCATCTTTAAATGACGTTTGCCATTAATAAGAAACTATGAACCCTGACTACGATATCAGCAAGTTTCTTGTAGGATGAAAATAAACATACAAAATGTGGAATACAAATAAAAACTAGGATCAAAATTAGGAATGAAAAATTCAGTTCTAATTACACGTTCTTATTGTTGACGGAAAGCTTACCTTCGCTTTCTTTTCTTTGCCTTGAACGAAGACTTTGTCTAGCAGTTTCTTCGACCTAAAAAACATCAGATATATAACTTCCTAAAACTAAATAAACTGGCAACTTACTCATTAAAAATCTTTTTTTTTGCTGCTCGAAAACTATGCATGGTTACATCTATAATTTAAGCAATTTATCATTTTCATTTAATCGTTTAGCAAAGAAAAATCAGTGCATACACAAAACAATCCCATACACAACAGTTCGATACAAAACATACCAGGCCACCAAGAATAAATTTGAATACATAGGCGAAGCAGGGCTTCGCACCTTTTAAGATACCTCACAAACATGGCATTGCAAGCAGTGAATTGACCGCTTTAAGCGGAAGCGGCCGGAAAAAAACGGTAAACCAGTTGAAATAAGCGAAAGGGGAATGATTTTTGTAAAAGAGGCAGAAAAGCGCGACTCATTTTCAGAAAAGCGATTATTCACACATAAAAATGTTGCAGAGCGCTTGACGAGTTACTTATTCTCGCCAATTGTCAAAATCAACAACTCACTTCATTTTTGGTCAAATTATCCAGAAAGCATACAGAACTTCGTTTTCAACGCACTTTCTGTGAGCCCTGACACGGGTACTGTCGAAAGATTTTTTTTTCTGCCAGTGGAAACATTCTTTCAAAAAACCGTAGTCGCTTGGGCGCAAAAATTCTCGAGAAACTTCTGTACTTAAAAACTAATTGATTTAATTCAATTAATATTTCCTTGCTTGTTTTCTTAAAAAGCGGAGATCTGAAATTTAGAAAAGCGGTAAAAGCGAAAAGCGGCTTCGAAAAAAGCGGAAGCGGCGAAAAGCGGCTTTTCCATAAGCGGTCAATTCTTTGATTGCAAGCTACCAAACAAAACTTATATTTGATATATTTTTCCTGAAATATTGATTTCATAATATTTTTCAACCCTTGAGAAACTGCAAATGGCCGTTCAAATACAATTGCCTGGATTTGACTAGTCGTCGGGCTATAGAGAAAAAATTACCTTGTCCCGTCCATGGCTAGTGTTCTACATCAAAAGATTCTGAAGTAATCCTATAGTTTGAGACCCTTACGATGACACGATTGAATCGAATTAAAAATATATTAAACTTGGCAATGATGTTGTCTCAAGCCAAGGAATGGGGCACAAGCAGTGATAACCATTTTGAAAAAAAAATAAATTCATTTAAATTTTCAATTAAATTTCAATTTATTAAAAATGTGAAATTATGAGCCCACTCAATTTGAATGAAAAATTTTAATTTGAATCGAACAATTTAAATTGAAAAAAAATTAAATTGCTCGGGCAATATTTGATCCGACGCCAAACTACACAGCTTAGTAATGTAAATTCATTTCATTTTTAACAGTTCCGCCGAAAAGGCAAGCAAACTAAGTTTTCACGATATAATTGATAAGATTTTGCTGCAAATAGATATGCCCAAAAAATTGCTTTCGACTTATTTTTTGAAAATTGCGAAAAGTGCCCAAAAATGGCAGACAAACTGCTAAAAACATTTTCTTGAACATTTTAATTTAAACCAATTTTTATTTTTTTAAATGGACATTACTGGACACAAGCACCAACTTTCAGCATTATATCTGCTGTTGGTTCTTTCAATACTCTTCCATCTCATCTAAGGTACTCAGTCCAGTAACAAAAAATATAACCAAAGCACAGTTGAAAGTGTCAATTAACTCAACGAAACACTGGATTAATAAGTAACACTTTTATTCCGCTTGGAATTCTACACTGAAATTGTGAATACTGGATTAATAAGTAACACTTTTATTCCGCTTGGAATTCTACACTGAAATTGTGAATACTGGATTAATAAGTAAAACTTTTATTCCGCTGAAGAATTCTAAAATTAAAAAAAAAACAGGTAGTTTACGTTTTTTCGCGCATTTGCACTTTCGTAGTTGGGAAGCGAAGTTAGCCTTTTTTGCAAATAAAAATGCATATGAAATTGAATTTAATTCCATAAGTCAAACATACATAAGTGAATTCATAGGAGCATGTAGATGTATAAAAGCAGTTCTGTACTTCTTAGAGCATTTAAAGACTTTCCTAAAAAAAACGAAAAAATCAATACGACCTACGTAAGAGTCTTTACTAAGTTCATTGGGACTTAAATTATGTGATTTATGAAATATGAGAGGGGTTTATAACTTAATGGGGTCTATAAATTGAGGTCGCCTAGAAGAAGAAGTCTTTTCCCAAAGAACTGTCTTTTCCCAAAATGAATCAAATGTTTTTACAACAGCAACCGACTTTAAGATTTCATGCCATTTCATTTTTCATTTGTCAAAAGAGCTTAATTTGAGCTCCGAACTTCACTAGAAATTAATACAAAATCCAAAAAAACGTTGAGACTTCCGGAAAATCAACCGACGAAGTGACATTTTTCCTCGTATTATCGCCAACTTTTAAGTAATGGAGCGTTGAAAGAGTGGTAAAATTTTCCCTTACCTGATGCATTCGGATGAATAGTGACCCTTGTGAATCTTTGTCACGCAATTCCATTTCATATTCGTATTCTGGATTCTGAAAAAATAACAATTTTAAGTTTGAACAAGACTGCTCGTATATCAGGGCAAAGCCCTGAATGTTCCGACTGTCCCTTATTTTATATCGATTAGTTTTTGTGAAAAGAAAATACTGAAAACCTGTATGCATTTTGGACAATTTCAATGTGTAAGATTTTGAGTCGTACGAAACTAATACGACCAATTAGCTAGCCTAAATTCAATTTGGAACGATTTTGTTGTGCGGGATAATTCGCCACGCATAAATAAGTCGCGTTACGCTCTCAACATTATGAATAAACTCTTCAAAGCGCGCATAATTTAGCCCAGAACATGGCAAATTTGGCAATTTTCAAACCCCCAGAACTTAAATAAAACTATCGGAGGTGAATTATCTTTTTACATTTGAACTCAAGAAGTCAGTCGATATCTTGAATGGGGTATAACAACTTTTGCTGAAAATTATCATTTCGATCGGTGATAATTGACGGAATAAAAAAAACCACACCGAGCATAAAACCACACCGAGTTTTATTCGAAAGTCGGAACAACAAGTGTAGCCCCATTCTTGTAAAAGAAGCACAACTATTGAACTAAATGGGGCGTTCCAACAGTGCCGGAGTACAACAGTGCCGGAAAAGGCGGGAAAATTTCAGAATGATTTAAACGCATTCTCTAAAGAGCGGTAAATTACTGACGCTAATTAACAAAAAAAATCACTCCAATTTCGGCGCCAAAATGTCTACAACTGCAAAATAAACAATTATCTAGGCGCCAAAACGATATGTATCACTTAAAATTGTAAACGATCTCCGTTGAATTTTTGATTGCCGCACTTAATAAAATTATTTAAAATTCGTTGAAACTTGTTCCAAATTCTCGGCACTGTTGAACAAAGTTTTCATTTTCGGCACTGTTGAACTATTTGTTTTCGGCCCTGTTGTACTGCCCCAACTAAACACTGCATTAAATAGAAATCTGAAACTGAATCAGTGTTTACAATGGCGACGCGGAGCTGCGAAACATTTGTGATAGATCATAAGTACAGCATAGAAAAACGAAGCGAACGTTTTTTGAAAAGTTTCTACGCAGAGGCAAAGCTGAGCTTCGCACCACTTGCGATACAATAAGTATAGGATAAAAACAGCAAAATACTCAAGAACTATTAAAGAGGACTTCGAACGTTGTTTTGTTGAAGAAGGGACCAAGAAACAAAACAGGAAATCAATAAAAAGTTAAAAAGAAATAAGAAGTCAAAAACCGCTAAAGAGTACATTTGAGCCTGAACAGTTTTTAAGACTTTTTCTGAAAAAAAAATAATCGTGACCTATATAAGAGTCTGAACTACGTTCATCGACTCTTTAAAATGTTGAGCTACTAAATTTCAGGGATCAACCGCACAATCTCCCCCTTCCCTAAAAAACGCACCGTAGAAAGCCCTCCCCAAGCATGTATTAATTTTGAAAAATAATTCTGTATAAAATAAGCATTTCATACAAACGCGCAAATAAAATTGGTTTGTATCTTTTTTATTCGGGATTGCATTTGTATGCTTTTAATTACACAAGCTAATGTTTTAATTCAATTTTTTTAAGCAACACGGTTAATTTTGAACGAATCTAGGCTGAACTCAAAGTTAGCTTGTGAAAAATCCATATCCCCCCCCCTAAATCGATTTGGGGAAGGAAAGATTGTACGGTTGATCCCATTTCAGAACTAACTTTAAAGCCACAACCGTTTATTTATAAAAACAACAATCAATTTTTGCCCTTCAAACGACACAAAAGTAATTTGATTAGCTCGATAAAATATTAGTCGAAACAATTTAGGCCAAACAATGCTTTTAAGCTAAAAAACAATAGAAAAAAGTCAGGGTTAGAAAAACTTCAAATTAAAGGAATGCATGAACAATACTTAGATATAAATTTAGCCGCACAAGAGAAATCCAAATCCGTGATGTGGCAATTAAGCCCAGAAAACTTAAGCAGACAAAAAAATCTGACAATTCAATTTTTCCCGGAAAAAATTTCTCGATTAAATATTGAAAAAACACTGCCTGGCAGGACTGCTTTCGACAACCTGATAAAGGCGGTGAGCGATCTAATTGCTTATATTTTTTACAACAAATCTATCCTGCAGCATAAAACTGATAGTCTGTTCAAACAGCATAAATTGTGACCGACCGCACCAACTCTATACGAAAATTGACACACGTTTTCGAGCGGCAAGCGCTTACACCGTCACCCTTAAACCAACAGTCGGCTTATTGGTTTTTTACTGTTATTCAAATTCTCAGCATGTATTTTCTCAGCCATTTGTATACTGCTGGACCTGTATACTGTTAAGGTTGAATGCTTGTTGCTACGTTTCTGGTCGAGACATCAGAAAACTCACCAATGCCCAGATTTTGGAATTTGACAGACAAAGAGCTGAAATTCATCTTCGAATTACTGTTCATTCAGCTCAAACTATGAGTTCAAGAATTGTCAATAAAAAAGAGCTTCCTTCCTTTGAACCAAATACCTTTGTTGTGACATCATCAGCCCAAATACCTTCAAAACAATTCGAGAGTTCGAATCTGTCGTCTATTTGATGAAACAGAATGAACAAATATTGACTATTTAATTACACGCCGCGACCCATTTGTCTTTTATGACGTTACCTAGCACAAATTCTTTTGTAGCTCATAAGGTCGCATTTCTCAAAACCAGTTTTGTGATAAGTAAACGCAAAGTTAAATTTAGATAACTTAAAATAAACAACCACCCAGAAATCTTTAGGGTTAAATGATTACGTCAACCCCTTAAACTATTCAATATCGACTGTTTGAGCTTTACTCCAATTCGAACGATAGATTCTTAAAATTCTAATATGATGTCAACGACTCATTGTAACTGAGCCAAATTCTAATGGAAAACAAAAGAGCGAATGGTTGCTTTGCCTTAAGCAACAGATTTAAATGGAAAAAAGAAAGAAAACTTACGTCTTCACATAGGGCCATGACCTTGTGGACCAAGTTGGCGCCGTCTGTGTCTTTGGTCAGAAAAATAGCTCTTCCCAAAAAATCATCTCTCAGAGTGTCTTTGTCCATGACCTTGACCTCTATGATCTTGTAGGGGTAGGGAATGATGAGTTTCTCATTCCAGATGGGATCCAATGTTTTGTAGATGACCTCCGTCTTAAATTTTTGTTGGTTTCCGTCAACTGTGATCACACAGAACGGGTCGCTTGTGCCTTAAATTACATCAGCACTAAATTAGGTCCGCACTTAATTTTTTTCGAGGGGCAAACGAACAACAAAATAAGTCAGGAAAAATGACTACACGATTCGAAACCACCTCTAGAATACGCCTTCGCAATTGCGCCATATAGCCTAGTTTTCTTAATTAGTTACCACACCCTCTGCTAAAAAATACCAGTGAAAAATGAAAGCACTTTAATAAAGCGGGTAGAACATGCTATTAAATCGACAAATAACCAACATAGCAAACAGAAAAATGGACTCAAAACTGAAAAAGAAACATTTTGACACTTGTCAATTTCTAAAAAACAATATATCAAATTGAACCTCTCTAAATTTCAAGAACAAATTATGCCACAGAGGCGAAGCGAAGCTTCGTTCCATTTGTGGTACAAAAGAACGCCGTTACATTGAAAAAAAATGAAAACAAAAATTCAAAAACGACAATTATATCTGTTCAGATGAAAAACGTCAATAGAATGTAAAATTCACATCGGACAAAAAAAAACAACTAAGCATAACTAAGTCGAAGATACCTTAGCAGAAACCCTATGAGCCGAAAAAGTTCCCTTCGCCGTCAAAAAACTTAAAATTTATTCACTCGTTGAACGAAACAATATGAGGCCACTGACCCATCATAATATGGGCCGAATAACACGACGGAAAATGAGAAAAAATTTTAAAAACGCAAAAAATTTGAAAAAATAAGGAAAATGAAAAAAAGACGTAATTAAGTCCCATTCATCCTCAAAACACACATTTACACCACCAAAAACTTTTTTTTGCACTTCGAACGTCGCAATATGAGGCCGTATATAATTCAGGGTGGAAACTATAATACCGGAAAAAAACGAAAAGAAAAAAAAGGACTTCAACAAATCGAGTTGGAAAAATTACAACAATCATAAAAACAAATTTCAAATAGGAAAGATTTTCAAAATGCTAGCATGCACAAAGTATGTCCCTTGAGGTGACTTAGTTGCCAAAAGAGGCTTCGAGGAAATTAGTCCCGAAGAGTCCAGTGAAGAAAGTTAATCACGAAAAAAGGACCCATTACATTTCACTTGCTATCGCAAGTATAACACAGAGGTGAGGCGAAGTTCGGCAACATTTGCGATACAACAAAAATATTGCTCTACAAAAAAGTGAATAGACGAAGAGCCGGAAAAGAGGATTTTTTGGAAAATCTAAAAGATATCTTGAAAAATTTAGATTACCCGGCGGAAACTAAGGCAAAAAAAGTCTGGTTAACCACCTGTTGAGCGGAAAACAGACTGTTGATAATTGAATTATGAACTAAATTTCGAAAATTGTTCTCAACCCATACCCTTAGCGTTTTCTACTGAAATAAGGTTTTAGTCACTTATTTACGGGAGAACCTAATGCAGGGAAGATCTAAACTTCATATTCTTGTAATTGAATTCTTCACCTCAAAATTAGCGACAGTTAGGGAAAAGAAAAAATGTTTCCAAAAACTGGTCCAAAATTCAAAAAAACCAACTTTTCCTAAGTCGTTACAGTTTTACTACGAAAACTATAAGCCAGTTGCTTCTATAGGGAAGTGTCTTACACACTGAGACTAAACTGAACCTGAGACTAAAATGCAACCTGAGACTAAAATGAACAACACTTGCACTTTCAACTAAAAAGGAAGTTGCTTACAGCACAAGAAAAAAATCGGTGATGTGGCAACTAAGCCGACAATCTTGGAGCAGATGCCCGTTGAGCCGAAACACAAACTGCTTCGAATTTTTTTTTATGTTTCAAGCCAACCTCCCTGGACCTACAACGAATAATATTTGAACTTGCATTGAAAGTTGCTTACAGGACAAACAAGATTTGTGATGTGGCAACTAAGCCGACGAAATTCAAGCAGCAAAACGGAAGTCCAAGAATTCAATTTTTATTGAAATTCCTTTTTCAATTGCATTATAACAAACAAGGTCTGAAAAAAAAAACAAGATCCTGCCGAGAGTCGAAACTCACACCCTACGATACAAAAGCGACGGATTTAACAGGAGGCCAAGTGGGAAGGAACCTGAAGGTTGTAAAGGTTCAACAAAAAAGCTAATTGAAGAAAAATTAAAACGTGTAAGAATTTGTTTACTGGAAAAAACTTGTTCCCGATCTCTCGCTGTTGTAATAATATCTGACTTTGCCAAGCAAAAACATGACCGACAACGCTACTGAAAAAACTGAATGAGTAAAATTTTGATCCTACAAAATTTCTTAAGTGATGCACGCCAATAATGAGTCTACATAATTGCTAAGTGACGCAAGCCAATTATGACGCATTAGCAGTACCAGTCAATTTGAAAAGAAATTTACCAACTAACATGCCTCACTTTATAGAGCGGACGCATTTTAACTAGTATACGAAAAAGTTCATTGAAAACATGCGACCATGCTGAGGTTAGAACCCTCTTATTTTGCTGCTGGTATCCTTCCCTACCTCTACGCTACAGAACCAGAACGACTTGAAGCTAAAGTACTATTACTAGTAAAACAATAGTGTAAGTTAATATCCTTAGCATTTACTGTACTTAATAGCTGGTTTTTGATCTTATGCATATACTGCAAAAAAGAGCACTTTGAAAAAGAGCACTAATACTTGCGACTTAGGTTGGAAAAAAGTGAGTTCGTAATAACACAAAAGCTTCGCTTGTTTAAATAAAACCCGTGCAATTTCAAAAATTGAAAAAGCCGAAAAAAAAGTACCAAATGAAATAAATTTCATAATAAAAAAAACGGGAAATGAACCCACGGAAATTAGGCCGAAAACCACGAACCCGTAAAAAATCAACATTTTCAAGAAAACTCTTTGAAAACAATTCAACACCAGTAACGGTCTACACCTATTTACTACCTAAATTACGGTAGTATTTTTTTGAATTTTCAAAAAAAATTAGCATCTCTGAAATTAAGCATGGTTGAAATGTACCATACCGACTCATTTGACCACCATTCTGTGCCTTAACTTTTTTTACGGAAAAAAGTATACTACCCAATTCCAATACCCTTGCTTATCGAAATGGTGAAAAATGATTTGCTTAAGAAACTCTTTGAACTTTAAGCAGAATTCATGATTGACATTTTTTTGATGAAATCAACTCAGTTGGGAAATCTGAAAATTTAAATCCACTTTCGAAGTTAGAAGTTGATCAAATTTTTCGTGAGCTCTATATTTTATGTGTTCTACAGTGGAGTTTGTTTCTTTTAACGAAGGAATTAAATTGAACTTGAAAAGAAATCATAAGTAAAACCGCGAAAAATCGAATTTTGGCGTGAACAAATTTTAAGACTTTCCTTAAAAAAATCACCAAGAAATATATAAGATTATTCACTGTTTCTTACTCTAAGTTATTGAAATGAGAAAATTGGATAGATAGGCAAATTTTTTATTCTGTTGGGAAATCTGAAAACATAGCCAACAGACAGTTGGAAGAGTCAATGAAAACAGAAAAAAAAATTAACTAATTTTTTGGAAAAAAACTTCAAGTTTCGAATTCCAAAAAGATATCGCCCTAAAGCTCTTTTATTTTCAGGAACAATTTATTATGAGCGTTTTTTTTTATACAAATTAATCTAATTTGAGACAAAAATGGATTATTAGGAAAAAAAATATATTCCACTGGGAAATCTAAAAAATTAAATTCCACTTCGAAACTAGAAATCGGTGACCTTTTATGCGACAATTCAGCTTTCATAATCGGATAGTGCATTTTGCCTACCTTATAGCAAATGAACTTGAATTGAACTCAAAAAATGCATATAAACCTACGGGTATTCATATTTGCATTTGTAAGTATTAATGCATTTCTTTTGTTATTAGCGCATTTGAAGACTTTTCCTGAAAAAAATCATCATGGCCTACATAAAGTCTGAACTACGTTTATCTACTCTTAACAACTAAAAACTACTTTCGAAACTAGAAGTCGATCACGTTTTTCGTGACCTTTACACTTTTGCAATTCAATGGTGGAAATTGCCCTCTTTTCAGCGACGGAAATGAACTGAACTTGAAACGAAATCAAAAGTCAAACCGCAAAAAAGTGAATTTGAGCGTGAACGAATTCTAATACAAAGCAAATCATCAGAACCTTTAAAAGAGTCTTCTTTACATTCAGCGACTCGTAATTACACAGCTTTTCTAGCTCTTACTACACCCCGTACACTATCTATAAAGAACTGACACACTTATAATCCACTGACTTCCACAAACTCAGCGTTTAAGCACGCACGAGCTTCCATCATTGTAGCGGATTCCCGTAAAACATTTTGAAAAGGAGCGTGAGGCATAGTTAACAAGATCCGCTCCTGCAGTAGACCGCAATTGAACTGGATCTGTTTGAACTCCTCATAAAAACTTGAACTTGAACTCATATTAAGACATGGTGTCTCTCACCTCCTGGGTCTGCAGCTTTGAGTCCAGTTGCCCTCACTATTTGCAACTCCACGTCCTCGTGATCATCCTCCTCTATTATGCCCAGTTGCTTCTCCAGACTGTAGTCCAGGGTCTGGGCCTTGGGTCTGCTGATCACTGAGGCCGTGTGGGGAGCGAGTGAGGAACTGGAACGCGATCTGCTCATGCCTCGTTTGTCGCTTCCACTGTCACACTCCACTAATAACAAAAACAGACACATGAGAAAACAGAGACATGAAAAAAAAATCAAGTCAAAAATGTATTCCATTATTTCCTAGCTCGGAAGATAAGGTGATCCCTACTTTTTTTTAAATATTAACCCCCGGCCCAGATCCCACTTTTCAACCTTTGCCCTTATTTTCATGGGGGAGAGAGATGTCATCCATTTTGCCGCAATCGGACACATCTTGAGGAGGCGGATGACAATTGGACCCCTCCGACCATGACCGAAGCGGGATTCGAACCCCCGACATTGTGTTAACTTGTGTTTTCTGAAGCATTGCTCTTCAAAAAATTAGCTGGGAGTGTATGTATAACTTTGCTTACGTATTGGCTGTAACTGTGGAAATGGATGAAACATGAGAGACACTATGATGAAACCGACAGAGCCCACAGCTCCTGCGTCGTCTCGGAGGTCAAAGCGCTTCCTCTCCCTCACTTCACCCTGAAATAGTTCAAAAAATTATCAGCACTGATAGCTGTAGGGTTTTTCGTGTAGTGGACCCAACTCGCAAAACAAACATTGATTGTTGGTATACTTCTTTGTGCTTGGCATTAATTGGTGAAACTCAAGATGCTTTGATTGACAAACAGAAAATGAGAGGGGAGAGACATTGTGGACAGAGCATGAGAATCGATTGCCTAGTAATTACAGGGAAGTGAGTGCACATATGTATGTATACTCACAATATTGAGTTCAACAGACCCAATGTAGTCATCCTTGGTAGTCATACCATCCCAGTCGAACACTTCGATCAGCAGAGGAGACTAAACAGACAGACAGACACTACGAGGTCATTCATAATGTTCACCGACGACAGCATATTAAGTTTCTATAAAGCCACGAGTCTAGTGAAATGAACCATACCGTAGTGTAGTCTTCGACCATGAAGTCGCAGTGAAAATTCCATATCGGGTTCAACGTTCGCTTTATTGAAGGACTCTGTTTGATCTAAAAAGTACATTCAAAAAGATCAGCAAATAATACTTGGAGAAAAATTGAGAAGCAGCCTGACTGAAAGGTACGTGAAACACTTACTTTGCTGTTGTTGAACCAAATGTTGACGTATGGATCTGAGAGGCCATTCAGGTCCATGGCTGGCAAGTTGTGCCCAGAGTGGACCACAAGACTCACAACGCCCGAGGCTGAAAATTAAAAAGAGAAAGATGAAACATAACGTAAACTTTACTAGGCGACTAAGTCCGTACAATAAATGCTGGAACATTTCAAGCCGAAAAAAGGAATTTGTACAAAATCAGTCCTGATAATATTACAAATGTCAGGAACAAATCAAAACAACGCTTATTTCTGGAGAAAGGACTTGAATCACTGGACAAATCCTCGCAGTCGCAATCGCAATCGCATTTAAGATTCATTTTGAGAACAATTAACGATTGGCACTTTTTTGATAAAATCAACCCAATTGGAGAAAACTGTAGTTTTTATTCCGCAGGAAATCTGAAAACTATACACCACTTTCGAAACTAGAAGTCGATCACGTTTATGGTGACCTTTGCACTTTCGCTGTTCCATAGTGAACTTTACCTTCCTTTCAACAATGGAAATGCGCTTAACTTGAAATCAAAAGTCAAACCTCGCAAAAACAAATTTTAGCCAGAACTTTTCCCAAAAAAAACATCATCACGACCTATATAAGAGTCTGAACTACGTTTATCGACTCTTAAAGAATCGAAACGATTCAATGGATCTGTTATTTAGACAAGTAAGAAAATCTATATTTCGATTTAATACCGCTATCTAATTACAGGCGTAATTATTGAAAAGCTGCTCATCACGATTTGAATGAAAAGCTCATCACGATTGGCATCCGATTTGAATCTAAAAATCAAAATTGAAACTGGTTGACTACGAACTTACAGTCCATAATCGGCTCAGCGACAGACACTGACTTCGCACTCGTCAGTCTGGGAATAGTTCTTTCTGTCTTTTCAGCATTATCTCCTTCAATGCCGTTTTCATCCTCTTGACCTTTTGTGCCATCAATTTCGTCACTGCTCGTCAAAAGTGCGGAAATCGGATCCTCAATTATAATTTTCTCAGTCATCGCCGAAATCTTCCTTATTTTGTCAACAATTGAAAAGGAGCCAAGCTTGTGATACGTCAGTTTGAACTTCAAGTCCGGAATGTCTTTGGAACCCAGTTTCTGGCTCTTGTGTTTGAATGGCTTGATAAGGTTTTCTTTCCCGTCTTCCAGCCCTATTTTGCCAATGTTGACCGAGTACTCAGCAAGCGTGAGTTTTCCCAACATGCTTTTGCTTTTGACTGCTACTATCAGCTGAAACAGTGATAAGAACCATTAAAATTACCTAAATCTATCGAACTAAAAAAACATCAAGGCCCACAAATGATACACACAATAATTGGATTAGACTTTCTTCACGGCATAGCAATTCACATGTTGCATTTAGACGTGACTGTTTAACTGAATAGGGAAAGTGCAACTAATACGAACACTAGCGGGTGAAACTATTCATCTGTGGCAGGGAACGGAGGAGAGTTTTTTGCCGGTCAATTTATGAAACACTACAATCATCATGTGATCGTTTAGTTCACGCTCATTCTAAATATGATTCGTTCAAGTTACGTAGCAGTATTTAGACAACCGCGTATTCAGACACTGTATTAACCAATATCAAATTCATTTCTTCATTGTCTCGATTCTGATTGGTTAATACAGTGTCTGAATACTCGGTTGTCTAAATACAGACCGCACTCCATTCGTTCAGTACACAAAAATAACTGAATACCTTATTACTACTGGGCTGAGCGATGTTCACATCCTAGGTCAAAACAGTTCATTTTTGAAATATCCCCAGCCAATCAAACGTTGATCAAATTTGCTAAAATCATAGAACAACCAAACCTCACCAGTTAATCCCTCACAATCAGATTTAACAAACTGGCCACACTGAAAGTGCCTGGAAGGAGCTATGGATCTCTAACACTTTAAAGAAGGGAGATTCGTTACTATATACAAATTGCACAAATGCTTAGCCCTTGAATTATTTCATAGAGCTAGCAAATCGTTTCTAGGTTCAAAAAAGGGGAATATTTGAAGAGAACCGGAACTATGACACATTGTTTAGGGTAGGCTCTTTTCGACAAACTTCAAGCACTTCAAAGGAGGCCTCACATGGTCAATGGTGGTATCAGAATAAAACCCTATTGGCTAAAATTCGATTTCCAAAAAAAAAATGTCTGTGTCGATACAAATTGGTCTTAAGTTTATGTATTTCCAACTAATATACACGTGTGGCGGTGGAATAGGCACGCTTTTGACCTAATAGGAAGGGCTTAATGAAACTGAGGCTACAAAAAAACGATTACAATTTCTTATAGACAGATTTGTTGTTATAGTGCTAGTTACAACTATCAGGACAAAACAAGCAAAAATTGAAATTTAAAACGCTTTTTTCTCAAACTGGGATGATCTTAGGTGAAAAATAATGAATACAAAACGCTTAAACTTTTAGCAGAATTAATGTGGTGTATAAATTAAATTGCTCTGCGATATTCGGGCCCAGCATTTTACCCCAAAAACGATCAGTTTTGGCTTTCTTTAGTCAATCAAAGTTACATCATATTAATCTGCGGACATTTTGAACAAATTTGTCTTCAAATTTTTTGGCCTACAATCAACCCAATTTGAAAAAAATGCGCTTTAAATTTCAAGTCTTATTCGTCTTGTCCGGATAAATTTAATCAAGACTATTTGAAGTGATTTAGAGAATCAACAAATCTCCCACCTTGTCAGCCTGCAGATTATACACGAGAAAGGCCACGTCTTCGGCCCAGGGTTTGTTGGCAGCTCTAGGATGGGTCAAACTAGCAGATGAGTCTAACTTGACTGAGCACCATATGAGGTCATCGGATTTACAACTGGCTGAATGAGGGTTCGAAACATCTCCATACATTATCGTAACGAACAGAAGACCTTCAGCTGAAACCAAATCAAATCCACGTTTTAACCCATTGGTGGTTTACTTTTATAGCACTTACGTTTTTATAGAAAATAGGTAAAACTGCAGACCTTTAGAAGAGCCGACGGTCCTGACTTCAACTGCGCTACTTTCGACAGCACCTTGAAAAAAAAACAGAAAAAATTTAGCAGGAGCAAAATAAAAACCTTTAACAAGTGAGCATTTTTGACAAAATTACTAATTTACATAGGGGCGAAGCTGCTCTTCGCAAACACTGGCGGGAAAAGAACAAAAACCAGCTCTACAGAAGGAAATACAGAAGTAGATATAAGCCTCGAATTAATAAGCTTTTACTTTTTCGGATTCCAATTTGCGCGACCTTGAGATTAGGCCTATGCCACGGGCTCTTGAAACTTTGCTAACGGTATCCACCAATAAGGCGGCTATAAATGCTAACCAATTGCCAATGTCATGCAGCAACAATTGCACCAATTATAAATAAAACTAGAGCTAAGTGCGGCGTTGAACCTCCGAACAGTAGATTAGGAATCTCACGTCCTTTCAACTGTGCCACGGTCACTTACAGATCCGGAAATACTAGCTACAAATAAAGCAGAAAACAGATGCTATGAAATTTCCAATGCTACAGATCGTTATTATAGCAAAAATGTCTTCAAATGTGCATTTTAATTCCGAGTTAGTTTGCAAAAAAGTAGAGCCATACTAATACACTACACTCGCTAGTATAAACAACAATTAACAAACCAGAATTTAATGCGTTATTATATAAGGATAGCCGGTTCCTGATAGGTATCCTTAGAAAAACAGTATCCCTGGGGCGGTGGGCGTTAAAAACTTAAAAACTAGTTATCTAAGGTTAATTAACAATCAAAACGAAACCAAAATGAGGCTGAAAATCAAAGTTAGTATAAAAACAAATGTGTTCATCAAAGTTGATCTGAATAGTAAAAAAAATCCGATCGGTTTTTCTCGACACTGAGGCAATCTTTTTGCTTTTTTTCGAAATCCGAATCACGACTAAAGGGCTTTAATATGACACCACCCGTGCACCTATGTATGCTTACTTTTAGGCAGTAAATGCATAGGAAAAAAACAGTAGGCTAGATACATTTAGCGTATAGGTAAGGGCATTTACTCTGAGGCAATCGCATATTGAACCCCTTGCTCTGGCAATGATAGCGTAAAACAACTGTCCAGAACGATTGCACAATTAGAAATTGACAATTCCTACAGGCTAGATAGCCTTCGATAGATCTGTGAATCACAGGGAGTGCGGTCTGTATTTAGACAACCGCGTATTCATACTCGTCAGTAAGCAGACAAATACCATAATAACCAATCAGAATCGAGATGAGAAAGCAAATTTACGAAATAAATAATTATTAATTTCTTCCTTGTCTCGATTCTGATTGGTTAACTTATTGAAGAGGCCAGACAAAAGGTCAGACTTATTGAAGAGGACAGACAAGTTATCGATAAATAACACACATGCGAAGCGAACTTCGCAACACTTGGAGGACATCACACAAAAATCATTGCGAGCTACCGGATAGAAAACGAAACGAAAGCCTCAAAATTGAAGAAAAAAAAACTCAAAAAATGCCTCAACTAATTTATTTATCGAATGATGTTCAATTTTTTGAAATCAATTCGAGAAATGCAATGCCCACCTTTAAATTAGCACCGAGACAAAATTAACTCTGTAATAATAAAGCATTGTCAATTTCTTAAAGTTGTTAAAGGGGAAATTTCAGTTCACGATAACGAAAACTAACCAGAAATGGAATCCGCTCGTTGATAGTCACTCTTCCTAGCGACGCCAGGCTCATTATAGAGTGGAATGTAAAATCTGTGAGGGTAATAGAGGTCTGAAACGTTCCACTAGTTTCACTCGGTCATAAACAGTAAAATAAGAATTTTGTATTGAGAGGTACAAACAGTCTGAGAGAGATGTTTTAACGATGGTGTTTATCCAGTCATTCAGCTTCGGTAGTGCCATTACATTCGTGTGCATCGTCATGATTGACATCGAAATTTTAGGTCTGCAAAAAGATAATAACCGTAGACTTCAAGCAAAACAAGAAGCAACAGAACATGCGAAAACCAAAGCCACTTATAAACTCATTAAATTATACTGATTGAGCTACCAGTTTATAATATATTTTTAAAAATTAAAATCATGCTTTTAGGGCGTTATCGTACGGCAAATAGAATTCCGTAGCGTCATTGACATTTAAAAACAATAATATCCAATATCCGGCTGAGAATGTTCCGGTCACCTCTAATTTTACGAAAAATATACAGAGATGTGAAACAGAGAAAGCTAGTTTTGAAAAAAAGCATGCCAGCACAAAAGAGTGTGAAATAAGGATTAGAAAACTTACTAATTGGTAACAAAGTCAAAAATAACCTGATCAGAATCACTTGAAGCCGAAAAAAAACTTCAAAAGATTCAAAAACCAAAAATTTTTCAATCCCCCTCCTCCCCAAAGCACACGCTTTATTCGCTCATCAAAAGACGCATTTTGATGCCACTACGACAATATGAACAACCAACTTGATAAATTACAAACAACTTAAAAAGCAAATGTCTAGTAGGACGGTATTTAAGAAGCTAGCATGCTCAACATATGGCTGATGGAGTATTTCCATCATAAGGTACCAAAGAACCCTATAAAGTACAGGGGTAACTTTACCAGTTCTAGTTTTGACACTTTTGTGATCAAATTTATTTATGGCAAAACTGGCAAGTACTCGATTACAATACCCTAGATGATCGAAGGGGTAAAGAAGTAAAACAGAAGGATTTTTTTCCGATTTGGGCAACTAAAAAATGCGTTTTTTTAACAAGAATTTTTGTTGTTAGTTTGTTAGTTAGTGTGAGGGGACTGAATTGGATAATGAAGAAATAGATTAGAAATGTGGCCTGAAATGGTCAGTCTGAACTATTAGACTAAAAAACAAAAATACGTGCCAACTCAACAACTAAGCCAACTTTTAAAAAAATGGAAATCGAAGTCACAGCCAATTGTGCTTTATTATGATGACACACGTGGCCCCTGTGAGCTTTCCTTGAGGCCCTAAAATTAAGCTTTAAAACCTAAATGAAGCTGAATCTTAGTTACTTCCCGTCGCCCAAGTCACGTGATCACAGCAAACATAAAGACAACCGTCCTATTCCAGTGTTTTTGTCAGCACCGAAATAATCAGTTAACTCTGTCCACTACTATAAAAAGTTAGCAACTAACTGTTCATCGAGGAACATGATGGATGCATGCTTTGCGTGAGGAAACGGAATATTGCGGTCAAATGTGATTCCAACTTGACAGCGACCCGAAAACTTCAGCTTCTCCACATTCACAGTCAGGTTCAAGCCGTACGTCTTCAGTACTCTATCAAAATGAATAGCTATGTCAGAAAAAAATATATATATTTTTTCAAAGAATAAAAATTGATATCGATGGCTTTTTTGCGAAAAAAAAAATCAGAAAAATGAAACTTACTGATCGGGAGCAATAGTTTTTAGATTTCCCACAACTTGGATGAGGAAATCGGGCGAGTTATGTTCGAAGTCGAGCTCCACGATCAATTCGAAAACTTCCTTCTGCATCAACGTTTGCCGCACTTTCTCCAGTACGAGAGTTTCGCTCGGATTAACTGCAAGGTCCGAGATACTTATAGAAGAAATTCGCGGCATTCCACTGCCCAAAGAAAAAGATGACATTTGGAGAGAATCTAAGCAAAAGAAATGAGTGAAGAATAACCCAAATGGTGCAGTCTTAAGCTGTCCAGAAGGGAGGGTACCTAAAAAGACCGGTTTGCAGCTTCTCAGAATCGGATTCAAAACTCCTCTCAGCATGCTGGCAATCTCTGGTTCGGAGAAACGCATCCTAAAAATTCCGAACCAACTATTAGCTTAAGTACATCTATTTGTTCTTGATTAAAGCGTATGAAAGCTAACCATCTGTCGACTATAAGATTTGCCCATTCAACTGACTCGTTGCGAGGATTTTCAATTTGATTGATTTTCCGGCACCATAAAAGGCTAAAGTCAAAATTGCATATTAATAAATGGTGAGTATTTAGGCATAAACAGCAGGCTTCTCATACTAACTCGACTTGATCCTTGACAAAAACATCGACGATTTTGTGCCAGTACTTCGCAATGAGATAAGCTGTTCCCAGACCCCATGCGCAAGAGAATCCAAAATAACCTAGAATCCAAGCCTGGAATGATAAAATAAAAACCTGGGCGCAAAATAAAACGAATGTTAATTCTTGTTCGAAAAAACTCTGTATTTGCGGTTTTTCATAATCCACGGGTTGCTTTGATTTTTCAAAATTTTTCTTTGCGCTGTTCATGATTGATATGCGATATAAGAAATATACATTTCACAGCAATTTGATCAGAGCAGCGAAATTTTGAAAGGTTTAAATTCGATTTCAGCTGAAGCAAACATTAAACTGCAGCACCTATGATTAATTCAGAACGACGTTTGGCAAATATAGCCTATGAAAGTAACGCCAACTGAGCTAAGCAGAGAACAAAATCAACTCTTCAAAATGTAGTTTGAATGGAGGACAATATAGTGCATTCTAGAGCATGCGCTACAGAATAAACTCTTTCTGCCGCTTCAGGCAAAACACAAGGCAGTATAGTAGTCTAGGTAAGCACATTGAGAATAGCTAGGAATAAAACAAAAATTCCAAAGGAAAATGAAAGGAAAAGTGAAAAAAACACTGAAGATGCCATTACTTTGGCATCTTAAAAAGACTGGAGACATTATTCCACGGGGTCTCCGGGGAAATCCATTAGCGAAGGTCAAATATCTTTGCTTGAATTCAGTCTTCTATCTCACACCAGCGAGAGCTGAGATGCAAATTTCGCCCACAAAATCATTTTATGCGTAAAACCAGTCAAAAATATTATTCAACAACCATGCGGTTCCCTAATAAAAAAAAACAAAGACAAATTTAGTACAATTAATTTTAATTTGGCATTGGGAAAGTTCTCTCACCAGCAGAAACAGGCAGCAACGAAATATTGCAGCATCGAATACATTAGGATCTTCTCAAAGTCATCCTCAGAGGCGAAGCTGAGGATACATTGCGTTAGTTTGTGAATAAAAAGAGACGAAAGTCAATTTTTTTTGAAAATTTGAATTTAAAAAAAGCTAAAAAACCGAAACAGCAACATCTGCAAAAACTTCATGTTTGTATTGGATGATGTTCATAAACAGCCTTAAAATTACTGGAAATCATTTACCAAGCGGCAACTAAGCTGACAAAATTTGGGTCGACCCATGTTGAGCCGAAAACAAAAGTTGTCATAAAAAAATTGAACTTAAAATTTTTACCACCCATCCGAACTGACACGAATGAAAAATTATTTTAAAAAATATTTTACCCTCAAAATTACACAATATAAGTTAACAAAGCCAAAACCGTTTTATCGAAAAAAAAGAAAACAAAAATAAACAAAACAAGATTGCTCATTTCAGGGCAAAGCCCTTAACGCTCTGACAGCCCTCTATCGTCAATGACAAGCCGTTTGTTTTACAAAAAAATTAATAAAATAAGAAAATTTGAAAACATTTTTCAATTTTTATTTGTAAACTAGTGTATAGCTTGCACCTCTGGTGCTTCAAACAGAACACCGAATGTGAAAATTGCTTACATATTAGAAAAATAACGAAAAATATTATTAGAAATTTCAGGCAACCGCAAAAATAGGCGGTGATTTAACAAACTTTTATTTAATAACTTTGAAACAAAAAAAAATTAAGAAAATTTCAAAAACGAAGATTCTTTATGTAAAATCAGTAATTTCCTATTTAGGACTCTTTTTGGCTCAGTTATTTGGTTTCACCAGCTGTATATCAGTTTCTGCCATCAATCATTTAATCTAGGATAAATAATTCAAAGAACATGAGAAAAATTTTGAAATAATACGAAAAATAATCGCATTGCCAAAAACTAAAACAATTTCTGAGCAGAATCTGCAGCTCCTGAGAGAACTGCGATATAGCCACATTAAAAAGTTGACAAAATGTATAATTTTGAGGTTTTTCAATTTTTTTTTTCAAAAATCGTGAAAAGACTTCATATCTCGGAAACTATCAAAACATGAGCAGTCATTATTGAAGGTCGCAATTAGAAGTCTTGGAAACATTCTGGCATCAAAAGGTCAACAGTTCAAAACTTTGAGGTATTTTTACAACATTAACAAGACTGCTCGTATCAGGGCGAAGCTCGTATAAGGTTTATGGAGCAATAATAACATTTAAAAAAATAAATGAAATAAAGCAAAATCAACAACTTTTTGTCTAAAATTTGAAATTTTTTAATGAAAATCATCCCCCCACACGCCAAATAAAGTACAAAAGGATAGATTTCGCTAATTGTAACAAATCAATTTGGGCAAATAAGCTTCTTTCAACCAATTGGGAGCAATTTCTAAGACTAATTAATTCTCCGGTTACGCGTTAATAGCGCGCAATAAATCGCGCGTTAATTGTCCCAAATTGGCCAACAAGGCAATTTTTAAACCCCCGTAACTGTACAAAAAATGATCACAGGTAAAATTTCTTTTCAAATTTGAGCTCAGGACAACAATACCTTTTCAATGATATAAAAAAACTTCGTCCAAAATGGCTAGTTAAAAAGTCGAAATTTGTCTGAAGAAAAAAACCCACCCGAGCACAAATTCGGAACAATAAACATACGTTTTTTTTAAAATAAAACATCATATCTCAAAAAACATCTGAGCAGTCATAATTGGAGACAAGATCTGGAACCCTTCGGAATACTCTGGCAGCACGCAACTATAGGGTTGAGCACTTCAATTTTTGTTATGTCTTTAAATTCAAAAATCATGAAAAAAAGGTCAAATCTCGATAACTTGAAGTATTTGAGGAACAAAATTTCAATTTCAGATAAACAACACTTGAGAGTATCTTGAAACGCTTCAAATTTGGGGTTGGGACATTCAAATTTTGAAACTAAATTTATGAAAAAAAACTCTTAAGAAACGTCATATCAGTAGAAACTAAAATGGTTTGACTAGTCAAAATTCGGGACAAGATTTGCGAACGTTGAGAAAAACTTAAAGCATCCCCAATATAGGGTTGGTATTTATATTTTTGAGAAAATTACAAGAAACTTCATACCGCAGAAACTAAAATAATTGAAAAAATCACATTTAAGGAGAAAATTTCCAAACTTTGAGAGTACCCTGATATCATCTCACTATTGGGTTGGGAAACTCACAGTTCGTGAAGTTTTTAAACTATACGTTTTTATTCAACATTTCAAAAATCTTTTTTAAAAAACTTCAAATCTCGGGAACTAAAAGAACTTGCGCAATCATATTTAGAGGCAAGATTTGCAATTCTTGGGAGTACCCGGACAGCACCCCACTTCAGGGTTGGAAATTTAAATTTTTGCGAAGTCAATTACACAAGTTTTTCCGAACAAACTCAAACACAGTGGCAAGCTTCGCTGCGCAAACACTAGAGAAAAAGACAAAAGCCAGCTCTATAAAGTGCACTAGGAGAGCACAAATACGCCTAATATCAGTAAAAATTGTGCTGTGTCGGAATTAAACCTGATAGCTTCAGATTAGGAGTCTCGCGTTCTCGAATCTGCGCCAAGCGCTTTTCAAATGATGCAGCAAAAGATATGGAGCTGGCATCATAGGTAAAGCCTTAAATACGAGCCTTACAATGTCAAAAGTATCATAGTAACCGAGGTTACAGTCAGGAGTCCCTTCATCACATATTCCAGTCAAAATCCTTGAATTTTTCTAGATATGGAAGTGATAATGATAAAAGAAGATGACAAGTGTTGAATTCCTTTTCAATTAAAATCGATACGGGGTACTTTTCTTCATTAAGAACACGCAACTCGACACGAGAAAATATAATATACAATTGTTACAAATAAAAAATTTCGTCGAAAGTTATTTTGTCATTAATTGTTCCGAATACGCAAGCGACGTTCGCAATCTGTACTGCCCGGGAGATTCTATGTTTTTAAAAGCTGCCTGCACTGGGTTCCTCAGTGCTATGCTTAGGTTCTTACAAAGCTTGCTCTAAAAAAATTTCAGTGCTGGGGCCGGCCGCGCCCTGGCGCCGAGCAGCCTTACAATTGATCAAGCAATCATACTGTAACATTCGCCCAAATACTACATAATGACGGAGCGTAGAAAAAGCACCTACTAACGACTGGCCGGCGTATGCTACTTAAATTTTACCCGTTTTTCAGTCTCGTCCTAGCCAGTTAATTTATTGGTCTGTTTAGGGCTAAACAAAATTTACTATTTTTAGGCCATCAGTTAAACAACTTTTGATCAGCTTCCGTTTGCATGCGGAGATACTCACATAGCTGGGTCTTGGATCCCCAGACTACATGAGTACCATTGAAAACACGGATGGAGTATCCTATTTTACTGTTTTTAGCGACAGTTATAAACTAAATCCATTGGAGATGGATTGACCCTTTCCTCTGTCTAGCTACTCATACTCCAAATTACCAAAAAATACTGGAGTTAACTCAAATGTTCAGGGCAATAAAGTAGCTAAAAATATGCGTTTATCACAGTCTCTCAGCATATATCAGTCTCCGGGCACCGGGTCTCCCATTCCGTGCTTCTCTGGAAATAACGTCGTTCTCTCCTCAATTTCGCGGCACGGGAGGGTACTGTTCCGGTCCGGATGTTCCACTGAAGTCTCCTTTCGTGAGATCTCTTTCTGCTAAATGTCTTATCGTGTCCTGTTACCACGATAAGACGTCTCGTTATTATCGTTTTTTTTATCGCC